AATGTAAAAATATTTAAATACTGGAAACATTGTGACATTTCTCCATGAAGAATATTTGAAAATAATCTACTGGTTTATTCGGTTGCCACATTTGTTGTTGGAATTTAAATACCCTTTGTTATTCTTAACTCTCGGATATGGCGGCTTGTGTAATGTTTTGGTTTTTAAAACTATACCAAAGGCTTCTATAAGTACCCAGATTAAACTTCAAAACGTTCTGTATAAGGATAAGAATGAGAAGCACGTGTCTGAATAATTGGGGTTTATTGCTTGAGACCTGGAATTGAAACTATACACGATCAAGTTGTGACCCGTTTCAGTCCCCTAGTTCATCACTCAGCAAGCCTCGCCCAGGTTTTGAAACACAGAGCAGTAATCCAGGATCAGAAGTTTTCCCAGGGGCTGGGTTAGGCAGATGGTCATTTTTTTAATGGGAATGGTGAGAATCCTAGAAATGGCTACAGTACTGTTCAGCAAAACAAAGCAAAAACAAAACCCCCAAACCCCACAGAAAACAAAACCAAAAAACCTGTATTGTGACTTCTCAAGTATTTACTGCCCCAGTATTTCATTTTTCGTGTGAGATTGCCCTTTGCTCCTGCAAAGAGATTCCTTACCCGGGAGAGAGACAACAGCAGGTTCTCCTTACTGATGCTCCCTGAGCCTTGGGGCTTCCTCACCTTTCCATCTGTGCACTTGTCACATTTTTAAAAAATTGATCTACTTTCTACAAATTGAGATGATCAATTACTGTTTGCTGTGTTATCCACTGCCGCCTTGCAGAACCCGCCATCACTTAGTGACTTAGAACCACACCTAACGCTGTCTCAAACAGCTTCTGTGGGGAAGGTATTTGGAAGTGGCTCTCTTGGGTGGGTCTGCTTCTGGATCCGCCTGGGCCACCGTCATCTGAAGGCTTGACTGGGGCTGGAGGGCCCACTGCTGAGATGGCCCGTTCACATGCCCGGAAAGTTAGCACTGGCTGCTGTTCCTCGCCTCCTGGGCTGCCCGAGTGTCCTCACAAAACGACAGTTTGGTTCACTTGGAGGGAGGAGGGTTCCTAGAAACAGCAAGGTGAAGGCCACAATGTCTTTATGATCAAGCGTTAGAAGTCACACTCTGCCACGACTGCAGTCGGCATCCTGTTGTTTACACCAGGGCGACCTATTCATTGAGGGTGGAAATACCAGGAGACGAGCATCCTTGGGGCTGTCCTGGAAGCTGGCTGCCACAGCTGTTTAATATCTCTCTTGTTTTATATGTTTAGACAGCAGTGTGGGGTTAGAGTGGCCATTACTATATCTATCTATCATCCATCTATCTGTCTGTCTATCTATCTATTTATCTATCTATCTATCTATCTTCTCATGAAACTGTACCAGAAGAATCTGAGAAGCACATACCTTCCAGATTGCCAGGAACACAGTGAAGCATCATACACTGCATTGATTTAGAGTTTACTGATTTGAGAATTTACGTTAATACAGGAGCCATTTCAACGGCTCTTATCATAATTTTTTGGGGGATGGGCTTTTGACTAGGGAAGGTGACTGGGTGTAAAATTAAAAATTCTAAACTATTAGCAAACATTTTTTTCACTGATTATGTGTCTTTTAGCAATTTGGGCTGCTATAACAAAATACCAGAGACCGGGAGTTGGGAGTCTTAGAAACAGTAGAAGTTTATTTCTCGTAGTTCTGGAGGCTGGGGGCCCAGGAACAGGGTGACAGCATGGCCTGGTGACGGCTCTCACGTGGCGGGAGGGCCTGCGAATCTCTCAGGAGCCTCTTTTATAGGACAGTAAATCCATTCATGAGGGCACCACCCTTATGGCTGACTACCTCCCAGAGCCCCCATCTGCCACCACCATCACCTTTTGGGGGTTAGGATTTCAGCATAAGAATTTTGGACGGGACACAAATATGCAGACTGTAGTGTTATGTAAATAAACTTCCTCTGAATCTGTAAACTTCCTCCAGCTTATCTCACTGTGCCTAAAATCTCTATCTACAGGCGTTCCCCAATTGAATTTAAGAATTACATTTTTTAAAAGTGCATCACCTATAATCTATATAGCTATGTAATATATATCATACAGCTGTATGTCTATATACCAACGATGAAAAAGAATACGGAAACAAATATACGTATGTATACGTATGACTGAAACGTTATGCCGGCCACCAGAAATTGACGCAACGTTGTAAACTGACTATACTTCAGTTTAAAAGAAAAAGAAGTTCATCACTAGGAATTTAGATTTTGATTTTCCATAGGAAAAAATGTTACTTTGTTCTTGTGTTCTTTGAACTGAACTTGTATTCCAAGGCAAACCCACAATTATTTAATGTCTTAGACTATTTTTGTTTTGAATGTTAGAAGGGAATAATAACATTGCAATTTTAGTAATTAAAGTTAAACCAAAGGACTGCAGTCTTTTTGTTTGTTTTTGTGTCTTTGTCAGTTTATAATGTTGTGTCAGTTTCTGGTGTACAGCACAGTGCTTCAGTCATACATATATTCCTTTTCGTATTCTTTTTAACCAGAAGTTACTGCAAGATATTGAATATAGTTCCCTGTGCTATACAGTATAAACTTGTTGCAACTTCAGTCTTGAGTCGGAAAATTATCTTTCACCTGGTGCTTAAGGAAAAATTTATATAATTTGAGAGAAGGTCCAATGAGAAATTTAGGGGAACTCTGAAAGAGGTTTCTGGATTTCATTTAATTAATTTATTTAAATTATGTATATGTACACATACATACATAAATGAATCAAACCATAATCTCACCCTCATTGGCCTCAAGGTATTTTTTAAAATTTATTTTTTTTTATTTTTTATTTTTTTGGTAATAGGAGTATTTTTTGGAAGGGGTCTGCTAGAAAGTCCTAAAATAGAATGGAAAAAAAGAAAAGGCTTTACTAATGTTATTCAGCAAGTCTTAGAAAAGAAAAGAAGCAGGTTGGAGACTAGAGGAGAGTGGGTAGATTCAGAGAAAAAAGGGAGGAGGTTTAATTTAAAAGACTTGTTTTTATTAAGAGAACTGTTACGATCTTTTCCCAAATTAGTAGTAATACAGTAGAAAGTCATTTGATAGGTTGATGCTTAAAAGATCTAAGTGTAGATTAAATAATATATAGACGAATATAATATGTTGAGTGTGATTATAGATGATCTTGATTAATTAATTCATGATAAACTACAATCTTATATGAATCAGTAATACTGCACTTGAAAATTTGTTTGATACTAGATAACAAAGCCATTTCTTTGTTCTTGGAATTGATTGTTCTTTGTGGATGTGCGTTTGAATGCTGCTCTAGGTAAATCAGTGATAGAGGATTCTGTATAATTGATTATAGTTTTGTATTATTCTTAGAGTAAATGGGATGATATTTTCAGAAACAGGGTAAACACTGGGAAGATTTTCCATTTATGAGTCTTAAAACAGAAAATTGGTAAAATGCCCCCGGAAGCTGAGTCAACTGTGACAACTTGTCTTACTCGGCTATGTCCTTCTCTGAGTTTCAGAGACTCTTGCTGGCTCTTTGGTTTCTATATTTTTTTTTTTTCAGGAAGGAGGTAATTAGGTTTATTTATTTAGTTAGTTTTTTGTTGGAGGTGCTGGGGATGGAGAGCAGGACCTCGTGCATGCTAAGCATGTGCTCTACCACTTGAGCTATACCCCCCCCCGTAATTTTTCTTAATCCAATTGTATCTTTACATTTATATCAACCTTTTATCAATTATCTTAAAGTTTCCTAACTATTATAAGTAGGTTTAAGTTCAGTGAATTAAGCATTCTGTCAGAGTCTGTATATAATATATGAATCAGAGTTACAATGAAATGTAAGACGTGGGTCCTCGCTTCAGAATGTTCGCAACGTGGTTGAAGAAACAGCTCGTATATATAAAGTTAAGTGATGGAGATTAAAAGTTTGTAATTAAATTTTTAGTGATTCCTTTTTACTAGTCAATATTTAAGATGTATTCTACCTCAAAGTAAGCTTTAGAATTGAATCCTCATTTTGGTAATAATATGGGTGGACTCTTCCACCTCCATCTATGGGTGGAAAATGCCTTGCTGGAATTTGGAATGCGGGTCAGAAAGTCCCGCAAACCTAATTGCGGCGGGGGGATGACTTATTTAGAGCGATGACAGTGGAAGTTCTCAAACTCCAGGTTTCTAGAACGAATTACCTGTGAGGAAGAGGAAGGGGAGAGAATGAGACTGGTAAAATATTTCTGCTGTCCTGGGCATGAGAAGACAGCGGAACAACATTTATAAACTGGTGAGAGCAAAGGACTGCCGACCTGAAATTGTATATACCGAGTCCGTAAATGTCAAGGCAGAACACAAGATACTTTGGAAATGCAAAGAATTCCAACTATGGCCCCCAAATGCTAATGAATCTGCTTGAAGTAGTCTACCAGCTGGAAATTGAAGCATGACATAGTTCTGAAGATAAAAGTAGCAAGTGACAACAGGAAACAAATGCAGTTTTATAGGAAACCTGTACAACATTATCAGTTGTTAAAACGAAACGGATGGAGTTCATCAAAATCTTCCTTCTGCTTGCATGGTCCTCTCATCCTCACCCCAGTCCCAGTCTCAGTCCATCCCCTACCCCCATCTCCCACACACCTCTTTCCTGTCATTTCAGCGGATTTTTGGAAAGGTGGTGAGCTTAAAAGCGCGTGCTCAGTCTGCCATCTTGATTGAGCAAATCTCTTCCTAAAATGTTGCACTTCTTACCACGGAAGATTGTTGTAAAAAGTTGCTGGTCAGGGCTCTTGCTGCAAGCAACAGAATCCAGCTGTGGCAGCAGAGTTAAACAGACAGGGAATTCACTGAGGACAGCTGGTGGCTGACAGGGTCCTTGGGAAGGCTGGGGAAACAGGTTCTGTTGATTGGCTCGAAATTGTATAGAGCTTTGCAGTGGCGGTACTGTCTTCATTTTGAAGTAAATTGCCTTTTTCTTCTCTCTTCAAATGTAGGTTATATATTTGGGGAAAACTCCAGAAGAAGCGTATAGAATATTAATGTTTGGAGATACAGCCTATATTCCTTTCAGGTAAATATAAGATTCATTTAATCAGGCCCTTGACGGACGTATCTTGGTTTAGATGTTTCTGGAAAAAGAAGACCTGATAAATAGTCATTTTGCGGTGGGTACAAATACCGCCGTATTAGGCTACCCATCAGTGATGCTGTTGACATTCTGTTGCAGAGGGGTTGTCCCGTGTACAGCAGAATGTTTAACAGCATCACTGGCCTCTGCCCACTGGATGTCAGTAACACCCCCCCCCCCCCGCCAAAAATTAATTTGTGAAAACCAGAAACATCTCCAGGCGTTGCCAGATCTCCATGATGCTGGTGCTGGTGGTGAGTCGGTCCTATATGAGCGGTGAGAACCACTCCCACTGATGGAAACTGTGCTTTGTAAAATCGGTTGAGAATCCTGGAATGGCAGTACTCAGCTTAGTGCTCTGAAGAGTTTTGGTCCTGAGGAGTTAAGAAGTAAGTTTTCCCAGTAATCACGAATTACTTCCAGAGCAAAAGTGAAGCCCCCGTTCCTAGGGACACGGCCAGCAGAAACAGTGCATAAGATATATTAAAGATATATTAACAATAATATATTGAGTACCACTACTTGAAAAAACAAATAGCTGTGTCATAGAGGCAGTAAATAAATAATGTCTTTATATAAATGCATGACATCCTTATCTCAAAGTGACCAGGTGATTGTGTTGAAGATATTTTGAAAACACTTGGGGTTTTTTTCCCCCCTGTAAGTCAAAGGAAGTTCTAAAAGTTTCTCTGTTTATCGAAATACTTGACTTAGCAGTATAATTTAAATACTTGTATGGTGCTTAATGTATAATAAATGTGTGAAATGATTTTACTCATTGCATGCTGTATTAATAATTTCAAGTGCTGCATTGTTCTTTCACTTGCAAATCAGTTAATAGCTTCAGGATTGTTGCATATTCCTTGAATGCCTGATTTTGAAGGTATGGCCTTGCCTTTAAAGGGTAAGGTTATGAACCTGACTTAATTGTGGACAAGTTTTGGGATGGGTCTCTCTAACCTTAGGCAGAATATCCTTCTTAAATAACTCCATAGGACTGTCCATAGATAGACTGCGTGAAATAGAGCTTTTTTTTTGTGAGGACAGTCTGCAGAGTTCAGTGTTTATTGAACTAAAGACTGTATTTTAGTGATCTAGCCAGTTAGAAGAATTGCTTTGAACCCAGCACCACTGCCTTTCTTCCTGGCAAGTGGATCATCTTAATTATTCTTTCAGGTGGGTAGGAAGGGATCAAAGTTATTTTCTAACTGGAGAATACTCCATTTTTCTTCTCAACTTACAACAGCAGCCATATACTTCCTTGAGAAGGAATGATGATACTTGAGGTCCCTGAGTCACATTGATATACAGTGATAATTTTGTTCTACAGAACTCTTCTTTCTAACAGTAATCCTTTATAATAGTGCCATTCTTAACGTTTATAACACAAGGTCCTAAAACAGGAATAAGCTTCCACATTTCACATAATCTAAGAAAGGATCCACGGAACGTTGTTGGTGCAAGAGAGGTTTTGTGTTAATTTAAACACAGAGGTCAGAAGTAGAATGCATGTTGTTGACTGCCATACCTGTGTTTAAATTATTGAGCACTGTGAAATGAGGTTAGTTACTTCTGGTCCCAAGAACAAAAATTAGTAATCCTTTAACGAAACAGAACTGAGCTAGAAATTGAATCTCTTCAGTCATTGATGCCAGATGTTTGATTTATCTAAAGCATAAAATTTGGCCTGTGAACTAGTGCCAGCCTGTGCGTTTTTTGTCACCAGCCTGTAATAAGTATGGGAACTGACAGTAAGATCTTAGAGAAATGTTGGCAATTAATAGAGTATTTTTGTGTCTGTGGAAGCAAATGCTGTAAGAATGTAGGCTTGTGTTTTAGGCGTTTTTTTTGATTCCATTTTTCTAATTCATTTTTATTTACAAAAATAAGATTATTGCATTATTGTGGGTATGCAATATTATTATTTACAAAAGTATCAGCCTTTGGCAGATTTAAAAATCCAGTGCTTCACTACATTTTGCTGTTCTATGGAACAGTACTTGGAACAGTTCTTACTAATTAAAAGTAGGCCGATCAGAATTAACAAAGCCTGATAATGTTTTGACAGAAGTTCCACTACAGTCTTTTATCCTTGCCACTTCAACTGCACAGAATCAATGTAACTGCTAACAGAGTATTGTTAACAAAGGACTGGGCAAGAATAGCATTCATTTATAGTTAATAGCTTCTTTATGCACCATAGGAATATTTAATTCGATTAAATGTAACTGACATGTAATTCTTCAACCCTGAGTTTTAAAATGTATATATACGTACATATGATTTCTTAATGAGTTAGATTAGGTATTTCTCTGCCTGTGTAAGTGAAAAAACAGTATAAAATATAGTTCCACATTTTCTTAATACCCTGGGATCACTGAAAAACATATATTTCTGCTCTTTAGTGTTGCCTGTGATCCTCTTTTGCCTCTTGGTTGATTTTTTTCCGTCTCTATTCTCTGTTTTCTTGAGAGAGAGAATTGCATGGTTGCTAATAGCTTGGCTGGTCACATCAGATGGGAGTTTGACTCTCAGGTCTGCCACTAATATCTGAGGTTCTCTGCACACGTGAGCCTTGGTCTCTTAGTCTATAAACGGGAGCAACAGTAATTCACCCTAATGAGATGTGAGGATTAAGTAACTTCCCGCACACGAAACACTTGGTGTAGTGCCCGGTCCTTAGCTAACATTTGCTGCACATACATATTTTTTCCTTTTCAAATTCACGTATAACTTACACACAGAAACCCCACGGCTCTTATGTATACAGCACGGCAGACATTTACATGATCCCCGCCCCTTTCCAACGGTTTTTCTTACCTTCGAACTTTACGTAAGTAGAATCATACAGCGTATATTTTTGCAGAGCTGGGATCTAGCTTTTTAAGTACATAATGTCTGTGAGGCTTATCCATGTGATGGCACATATTAGTTGTTTGTCCTGTTTTTATTGCTTTTGTGTAGCATTCCGTTCTGTGAATATACCACGATTTATTTGCCCATTATCCTTTTGATGGATTCTTGGGTGATTTGCAGTTTTTTGTTTTTTTTTTGATTTGCAGTTTTGCGCTATTATGAATACAGGCTGCTATGAAAACTTTTTTAGTGTTTGGCATCGTTGTGCAGTTTCTAAGCAGTGCTCCTTTATTGATTCTCACCTGCTTTTTCAAGTTTGTTAAATGATCTTAGTGATAAAGTTCCGCCCACAACAAAGACTTACATCCACATTTGTAGCTGTTGCAGCTCTGCCATTTGGAAGAAGTCTGTTTGGGTAGGAGGTGTGGGTGTGTTTAAAGTTGGAGGTGTTAATGAAATAAACATGAGTGAATAAAGAAGGATTCTTGTCTGGTTAGATTGTGTGATGTATGAGGCAAACCCTTTATCCAAGCCCAGATCAAAGCTTGTCAAGTTATCACTGACTGGAGCAGGGCTTGGACACCCCCCCGCCCCCGGTAGGTTCTCAAAAAATATACATTGAATAAATGCATTGGGTTGTCACAAAAACTGAATCAACCTGTCTTCGACTTGATTGGAACAGAATTATCAGTATATTAAGAAGATGGTAATCATAGGTAACTGAGGAGACATGGTGAGAAACGCTGGAATGCAGTTTGAGAATTCAGCGTTTTTCCACTGATAATTTTGAATTTGGTTTAGACTAAACTAGTTTATTTCCCTATTTTAGCTTCTCCATCTTAAACACATTCCTTATTCCATGAAGAAAATTATTCGTACAGAACAAGTGTGTGTGTTGATTCTATAGGTCAGTGGTTCTTAAGCCTGAGCAAACATCACAGTCACCTGCAGGACCTGGCGCCACCCCTAGAACGGCTGTCTCCTAGGTCTGGGCAGGGGGCTTGAGAATCAGCCTTTCTGGCGGCTGGGGTTGGCAGATGGAGTTGACCTGGGTGCTGCTTGCCCAGTGGGCACACTTGAGAACTTACGCGGCGGATCATCTTGTTTTTCTCCTCCTTGAATATTGCCAGGAAGCTCTTGGTAAAATAATTTTCTAGGTTCCACTGAGACCTTTTCTAGCTTTCAGAAGAGCAGCTTTTAAATTCGGAAGCTTACAGGACAAAAATGGAATGTCATAAGGCCCTGTGTCCAGTCCTCGTGAAGGCTAACGTCTAACACACTGCAGTAATTCTAACCAGTTCAGACAGTAACATCTAAAACTCTTTGAGCTAAAAAGGATGCTCTTTCTTCTTTGTTAGTTTAATGTTGCTGTAATAGTCTAGGTTCTTAAGGTTTGTACTATATTTAAAAAATTTAAATGTACAGTTTAGTTTTTCAGGTAAATTACAGTGTGAAAACCCAACCAAGGCAGGTAATTAATCATGGCTCCAGTTGCAACCTGGTTCCTCACTGGGACCAAATAAGTACCATTCAGATAGGCACATTGTTCAGCTTGCCTGCAATGACATAATTAATTTTATCTTGCCTAATTCTAAGCCTTTTCACTTTGTAATGACTTAAGAGAGCCAAAAAGGAGAAGCAGGTGGGGATGGAGAAATAGCTTATTTTTCTGGACAAAATCTTGAGACGTTAACTACATTGAGACATTCGTAGTACGATTACTGATAGGTGTTGATGCGGTATTGGCGGGGTTGTCTGTAACCTAGTTTAAGCAGTTCCCCAAGGGTAAAGTGATTCTACTAAAGGTAGCTGACGCCTTAGTTCCTGTGGTTTCTTTGGTACTACTGTCCTTTAAGAACCAAAAAGAATGCTTAGCATGCACGAGGTCCTGGGTTCAATTTCTGGTACCTCCTCTGAAAATAAACCTAATTATCTTCTCCCCACTGCTCTGCCAAAAATTAAAAAAGAAAGAAACTGAAAAAAAAAAAGGAACCAGGAAGAAGTTATCCAGTTAAATTGGAGAGGAACAAAATGCTTTTTAGCTTGCACCTAGTGTTTCAAATATTACCTTGATTTCCCAGTATTTTTCTCCTGCGTGGATGGAGATAAACATGTACAGAAACTTACACCTCCCCGCACCACGTATGTATACACAGGATCAAAAGGCAGTCTTTCCTGATACAGTTTATGTGGTGTTTTCCAGTTTGAATAAAAAAAAAACAAATACCTTACCCGTTTTGGAGGGAAGGGTACATACTGTTGAGAAGTTGAACTCAAGAAGGAATTTCTGAAGCTCAACTATCAAAGCCAAAAGGAATCTAGAGAGATCATTTGAAATTTAGGATGTGGTCCTGTTGTCATTAATAGTCAACAATTATAAAACAGTGTCTACTTGCGTAGGTAGAAACTGCAGTAAAATTTATAGCAGTGACTTATCTTTTATTTAAAAACCAAAAGGCAAAAATTCTTCTTTTTTTTTTTTTTGAGACTTGTCCTGTGTGTGTTTGATTTTTAAATTCTAATCAGCTTTGTCTTGAGATAAATGTACAGCAGAAAATTAAATTAACTGAGCTGTGTATTTCAATCCTTTTGGGATTTCAGAGATGCTGCCTATGGGAGCTGCAATTTCTACATTACACTTCTTGACTGTTTTTATGCAGTAAAGAAGGTAAGTGACTTGTAGGATGTGACGAGTGCTGTGCTGGAGAACTCAGGTACAGCCCGAGAAAAGTGAAGCCTTCGTCCCCAAAGATCTTCCAAGATGTGTATGATGTCAGAGGAACCCCATTTCCCCACCAACTTCAGAATGACACCAAACCAGATTATTCTGAATCTGAGTGCTTCTCTGCATGAGTTGAGGGAAAAGCCACCTGAACAACAGGAAACAATAAGAAACAGTTATGTAATTGAGTTCTAAATTCAGAGTTGGTTTTGAATCTGTTGTGATTTCTAAGGAAAACAAGAAACAAATAGATGACTGGTTTCCTAGTTCGTTCTGATTCACCTTTTATGGGGCTGATTCCCGCAAATCCTGTTTACAACAGACATTTCTATAACACAGTGTCAAACACTTTGTTTTTGTATCTTCAAGCATTCAATTTCTAGTTCAACAGCAGAATTTGAATAGCCCAGTAATTTGTTACTAGGTTTTATATAAACCTAAGTAGGTCACTACTGCTTTGTCAGAGCTCTTTAAAAATAACTCCGGTGTTTTATAACCAGGGTTGCTTGCTGTCGTGGACTCCAGGGGACACCTTTCCTATCACATTCTAAATGAACAGGGTGCCCTGCAGTCGTATGACACACCAGACCCTGGTTATAACACTTACTCCCTCATGTATATTGCTTGCATGTCAGGACAGCGCCAGAAATGACAGTTGTCAGTCAGTAGCCCTTGGATCGAATAAGCCTTCGACAACATCTCAAGTTTTATGTGACTTGTCATTTTCAGAGGCAAAAGGGACCCAGGTTTACTTTCTTGTGTATTGAAACATGGTTGCTTTCTCAGAATTCTGACAGAAACGGTAAGGATTAAACTCAGAGAGCTATTCAGTGTACAGATTCAGAGATTAATTAATAAACCTTTTTTTTCCTGTATCAGGCAAAAAGGATGAACCTTAATTTAGGGGTTTGAATCCAGCAACTTCGCTTTTTTTCATGCTATGTTAAGTTTCATTTAAGAGACTACAGCTTCTGATTTTCAATGTAGACATTTTTTCATTTGTGACTGATTTTGAATATTGCATATTTGAAACATCTAAAAATGTAATTATGTCTTAATTTTAGTGCTAATTCTAATAGGATCTTCTTATGAAATTCAAAAGAGAATAGAAATTCTCTGCAAACTGCATTTTATTGTATCATTCTCTTAGGACCATGTCTAGTCCAAATATGATATATATTGGGTATTTTGAATTCAGAGGAATAAAAGTCATCATGGATTCTGTCTTGGAATTAGGACTTAAGTAACTACAGTTTATAAAAGAAGAGTCTTTTTGTTTGTTATTGTAGCCTCCTTATTTCTCATTCATATTTGAGTCGTTTTAAGTTTTGAAAACTGGTTAACAGAATCACCCCTTTTGAACCAAGAATACCTTGTTGATCAAGAGTTCTTGCTTACATATTGTCTGGCTCAGTAAGCAGGAAGAACGCTTGTCAGAGGCCGCCAGCTCATCCTTGTCTCAGAAAATAGATCCTCTTTATTTTGCTTTGCATGCTCTGCCGACTGCACTACAGAATAGCAGAGGAAAATCTTACTATTTTTTTTTCTTATTGAAAGAAGGTTTTTTCCCTCGAAATTTTGAATTTTAGTGGTGGTCTCTGGGCTGTCTTTAGTATAGGAAACATTCATCTTTTACTCAAGACTGCTCAGAAGAATTTGAAAGTACAGATGTTTATGAAGTGTGTGGGATTTTGGGGGATAAGCTAACCAGTGGTTTCTTTCCTCTGTATTATTTATTTAGCAATTATTATATTGTGCATTATATTTGAAGCCTGAGTGGTGTTGATCTAATAAACTAGTAGAATTACTTTGAAGGCTTGATTATTTAGATCTTGCATGGATAGGATGATTGATGGAGGGAAATAAAAAATAAAATTAAAGCAAATATTATTATAACTAATTTTCGTGCTAATGGAAACATTTAAAAGACTCTTTTGAAAACTGTTCAGTGGGACATAATCTAAATATAATAATGCTTTTCTGGGTGTGCCTCCTGATCGTTCTTATTAAGAAATTGGATTGGAAATTGTTTCCTTTTTTGCATCTTTGTTCTTAAAAAGCTTTCCTTTGGATTTTAGGCAATGCAGTATGACTTCCTTAATTTCAACTCATTTAACCTTGATGAATATGAATACTATGAAGTAAGTTTTCAAGGATATTATTTTTAACTGCTTTATACATGGTTTACTTTCAGAGGTAATAGTCTTGTTTTTGAAAAAAATTGAACATGTGTTTAGGAAAAAAAGGTCAAGTCTTTATTCTCTTACTCTCATTTCTTGCAGTCCTGGTTCTTACTGATTTTTGCATTTGATACATCCTTACGGTGAATTAGTGTGCTCCTAGACATTTTTCTTTAATTTTTTGTTTAAATTTTTAATACTGATGACTTTTTTATAGCGATTGAGATAATGTTTGTAAAACCCTTAGCATTACACACCTGATTACCTCTGGAAAATACCTGTTTTTATCATAACCTGTTGTTTGTATGAAGTCAGGATACTTCTGGTTGCAAATGACAGAAGGTAAACACAAATGGCTTAAATAAAATGGGGAGATAGTTATTGATTTACAGGAATAAAAAGTCCAGGAGCAAGTGAAACTTCATGCATGACCAGACTCAGGTACGCAGACACACGCCAGAAACTCGGCTGAAGCTAATTTTGTTCCGAGGCCAGCCCTTCCCAGTAGGAATAATGATGGGTACTGGCCGCTTTGATTCACCCAGACTCATTGGAAAAGAGCATCCCTGGTTCCGGCAGGACCAGTTCTCTCATTGGCTTGGCTTAGATCATGTCTCTGTCCCTGAACCAGGCTGTGTTTCTGGCAGGAGTGGGAAGTGAGTGGGCATAGCATACCCTGGCTATCCCAGGAGCGGGGATCTGGGGTCCGCCCCATCAGACCTTACAGACAGCAGAAAAAGGGAAATGCAGCGGGAAGAGCCCAGGCAGGCAAAACCACAGACGTCCTGTACATGTTTAATGGTGGTTTTTTTTTTTTTTAAAGAATGAGTAATTTGATTCTACCATTCCACCCTCCAAGTAGATAATGAGTAAGATGCTATACTGAAGGTCTTTTCTGGGCAAGAATACTTGTGGAACCTTGGGGTTTTTTTGTTTTTTGTTTTTTTTTTAATCCTGCTGTAATTACCTTGAGCAGACGTTCTCATTAATAATGGAGTGATTCCACAGATGAAGGGCATTTTATGCAGTAGTATCTTGAACCCTCAGATAACTACTCTTTCACAATCAAGTTATTGAAGTCACTGTTATTTTGAACTCCTAGGTATATCTGAACTACTTTTTGATGAATTGGGTTAATAGTCACCATCAGTCATAACCCTGATGTACCAAAGGGGTAAAAGCATAGTTGAATGATCCATTAGACCAACCCTACCTTGACTTCTCTGTAACAGCAATACATTTCTAAAGTACAGTGTGTATTTACCATCTTAACTACTGAGTATAACAGCACTTTTGTGCTTCTCCTTATAAAATCGAACATTTCAAATAAAATACACTTTCTCTTTTTCGATAAGCAAAACTACTAAAAACACCAGTTGGTGTTCCTTCAGTGTAGCACAGGGATGCCTTTGTGTGTGTGTGTTTTTGTTTTTATCATTATTATTATTATTTAAAAAATTTCTTTTGGTGGGGGAGGTAATTAAGTTTATTTATTTAATTAGTTTTTTAATGGAGGTACTGGGACTTGAACCCAGACCTCATGCATGCTAAGCACACACTCTACCACTTGAGTGTGTGTGTGTGTATTTTTAACCAGTGAGTAATATAAGTGCTAACTGGCTTCCTTGTCACTAATGCAGAAATTACAACATCGCTGGGGAGTAGCAGGATCACCCACAAATGTCATTGACTTTCAGTGAAACTGCACTGAGACCCAGGGAACCGTTTAGGTAGCTACGGACCATGGTAGCGTTAGTCTCTATAGTGTATTTAGAAATTTTGGACTGGTCTTTCATTGAGTCCACGGTGCCCATCTTTTCTTGTTTTAATTTCTCTGAATTCAGGACACATCTTACAATCCATGATGCCTGTGATTCAGTGAAATCCAATCACACACGTTTTATCTTTAAAAAATTCCAAATTTCTGGTTTTACTTCAAAATCAGAACACCTGGCATCACCTGTCCTCATTCCTGCGTACATCTTTTAACGTGGAAGGACCATCAGTTCCCTTGGCTGGTAGTTGAGTAAGTGGATTAGGGGTTACTTGCCTGGCCGGTAGATCTTCAGGCAATTCTTGGTTTACTTCTGACCTGTTCCTTGGTGCACATATACACACTCCAGTTGTAAAGCTAATTGATCTTGTTTTTATGTTCTCTCCTTCCCCCTCATCAAGTGTTTCCCACTTCCTGCTTAAGTCTTTGTGTATCCATTTCTATTGTTATTAAATTTCAACTCTATTTATCCTTACAATAATTGTGGTAATAATTCAATCCAAGGGGCTTAACAATAGGAAGTAAAGTGCTTTCAATTTCAGCTTATATTCATATTTTTTCTTGACAACATACTGTGATCTCAGTATACTTGTCGTTTTGAATTTCCTGATAAGCTTGGGGAAAATTTTTCATTGACCTTCTTATTAAATAGCTAGCAAAATGGTGGAAAGGTGTTTCTCTACAAATAAAAAGTAAATATCGAGAAACCAGGAACCTAAATAGGTACATTTTTTTCTCCGTTGTTCAAGAAGTCAAGATTGCACATATATCGAGAGCCAGTTAAGTCATTCAGGAAATCAGGGATGTTTCCAGATCTCTCAGAACAGAAAAGTTTGCTTTCTTATTAATTACCAGCAACTATATAAGAACTTACTTGGTTAAGATAACCAAAGTACTTAGGTGTAGTTCAGATAGCAGCGGTCAGCTGTGTTTTCCAAAGGCTGTCTCTTGATACCCATGGGAGATTGATTCGAGTACCCACTGTGGATCAAGTCTCATAGTCAGCCTTCTGAATCCACGGATGGGGAACCTGCAGATACTGAGGGCCAACTGTTCCCTAGAAATAACTCATAGCAGGCTCAGTTTAGTTTCCTGTCTCCTGGGCATTTCTAAACAGCTTTTGTGCTGAAGCAAATGGATTTGAAGTCCTTCAGATACTCAGTATTGAGAAGGGGCATGGAGAGGAGATTAAATCTAAAAATGAATTGTGCTGGTCTTCCCTTTGCAGAAAGCAGAAAACGGAGATTTAAATTGGATAATACCAGGCCGATTTCTTGCCTTCTGTGGACCTCATTCAAGAACCAGACTTGAAAGTGGTATGCGAAAATGTGGGGCCAGTAGAATTTTGTTATTAAAAATATCCATCCTGTATTTTCTTTTGAAAGAGGCCAAAGAGTTAAACTAAGCTGGAGTGTCTTAATTAAGTATGCTTGGTCATTTTAGCACATCATTCTTCCTGGATTTTAACTTTTTAAACATTTTTTTTCACAGTTATAGTCACATTGATATTCAATCCCCAGTCCAGATACTGTCCCCACCCAGTTACAGGTGAAATTGTTGTCCATTGTTTTCTTTCTGCATTTTACAACATCTGGTGAATTTCTTTATGTAGGTTACCACCAACATTCTCCTGAGGCCTATATTTCGTATTTTAAGAGTCACAACGTTACTACCATTATTCGTCTGAATAAAAGGATGTATGATGCCAAACGCTTTACGAATGCTGGTTTCGATCACTATGATCTTTTTTTTGCGGATGGCAGCACCCCTACTGATGCCATTGTCAAAGAGTTTCTGGATATTTGTGAAAATGCCGAGGGTGCCGTTGCAGTACACTGTAAAGGTATGTTTCTAGTGTTGGTTAAAGAATGATGGTCATGTATGTCTATACGTGTAGAAACATACCATAATCATTTAGATTATATGCCAGGACACATGAAACTGCCTTTGTTTTTCAAAGATTTTTTTTTCCTTTTGTGAGTTGCTTTTTTCTTAAAACCTTTTTTCTTTATTGAGGTATGATTGACATAAAAAGGCTGTTCATATAAAGAATGCTTTAAAAATCCTAATTTTATATGGAAAGGATTGTAAATTAAGTTGTATTCCTAGGTAACTCTACAAAAGCTTATCACATTAAAATGCATTTATTTATTCCTCAAATATCTATTCAGTGCCTACTGTTTGGTAGGTTCTGGCATATGTTGGTGAACAGAGCAGACTCCAAGAGCTTTTATTTGTAGAGTTTGTATCCTAACACGTTGCTAGGTTTTCAGCAGCTAGAACAGTGCCTGGCACTTAATAAATATTTACTGAATGAATGTGTTACAATCCATTTATGGGTATACTAGGATTTATTTAACTTTTCTCCCTTTGTTAGTTAACTAAAAAGACAAGGAATATATTTTTGTTAAGACAAATTCAATATTTGGGAAAAGAAAAACAAAACAGCAAACCTGAGGAATAGCAGAAATCTAATCTCCAGAGTTCCTACATTATAAGATTCAAATGTCCAGTTTTCACCCCCCCCCCAAAAAAATCTCAAACAATACAAAGAAACTGGAAAGGATAGCTCAAAGGGAAAAAAAATGAATCAACAGAAACTGTCCCAAAGAAAGACCAGATGATGGACTTACTAGACAAAGACATTAAAACAACTGTCTTAAAGGTGGTGAGAGAGCTAAAATAAAATGAATACAAAGTGAAGAAAACAACGCATGGACCGAATGGAAATATCAACAGGAGATACAAAACTTTAAAAGGAAAAAAAAATTCTGGAACTGAAATGAAATGTGTATTGATGAGGTTCACAAACAGACATAAGCAGGCAGACGAAAGAAATCAGCAACTTGAAGATAGAATAATTGAAATGATCAGGTCTGAAAAGTAGAAAGAAAAAAGATTGAAATGAGAACCAAATCTAAGGGAACTCTGGGACACCATAAAGTAAGGCTGTGAATGGATTGTGGGAATCCCAAAGGGAGAAGGGAGAGAAAGAAGCAGAGAGACTTTTTAAAGGGTTACTGTCTAAGAACTTCCCAAATGTGATTAAAGACACAAATGTAAACATCAGAGAGCTCAACAAACTCCAAGCACAATAAACTCAGACCTACACCAAGATGAAATTCAGTCTAAAGCCAGAGACAAAGAGAACCTTGAAAGCAAAGGGAGAGAATCAGCTTATCAAACACCAGGGCTCCTGGTAAGACCAGCGGTAGATCTCTCATCAGAAACCTTGGAGGTCAGAGGGGAGTGGGCTATGTTTAAAGTGTTGAAGGAAAAAAACTTGAACCACAAATCCTCTGTCTGGCAAAACTGTCCTTCAGAAGTGATGGTGAAATTAAGATATCCCCAGATAACTAAAAGCTGAGAGAGTTTGCTGCCACTAGTCCTGCCTTGCAAGAAATGATAAAGGTTAAATGAAAGGACACCAGACAGTCACTCAAAGCTATATGAAGAAAGAAAAACGTCTGTAAAAGTAAATACCTGGACAGTTATAAAAGCTGTTATTATTGTGGCTTTGGTTTGTAAACTCTCTAATCAAAAGGCAGAGATGGGAAGAATGCCTTAAAAAAGTAATAACCCGACTACATGCTATCGAAAAGATACTCAGTTTGGATCCAAAGACGCAAATAGGTTGAAAGTGAAAGAATGAGAACTTTCATGTAAATCGTGACCCAAAGAGAGGTGGTTATCAGACAGAATAGACTTTAAACCAAGAAAAAGACAAAAGAGGATGTTACCTATTAATGAAAGGCTCATTACAACAAGAAGATACAACAATTATAAACATTTCACATGCCAAATAACAGACCTTCAAAATACATGAAGGAAAAATTGACAGAGTTGAAGGAGAAAACAAACAGTTGTACAACAATGGTTAGAAATTTCAACATCCCACTTTCAACAAAGGATGGAGCAACCAGACTGAAAATAAGTTAAGAAAACAGAGAACTTGAACAACACAACAACTACATGTAACGGACATACTCAGAACCCTGCCCCTCTCCAACAAAATAGCGTTTGTCTCAAGTACACATGGGACATAGAAGTAATGGTTGCACAGTGATGTGAACTTGTTAATGCCGCTGTCGCTACACTTAAAAATGGCCAAAATGATCGTCAGAAACTGACCCTAGAGAAACATAGATCTTTACATTGCCTGACAAAGAATTTTAAGTGGCTGTCTTTAGAATATTCAGTGAGCTCTTTTGCTCACACCCATGGCCCCAGCAGGATGGGCAAGTTTTGGGGGCTTCATACTGCCAGGAAGCTCCATAGCCACTGACAAGAGCAGATGTGGCATGGTCACTGGTACCAGAAAGCCCATTTGTGCCCAGCCCTGAAGGCCAACCCTTTTGGAGGCACTTCTCATGCAAAGGTCTTGCTTGTAAAAGTAGAAATTGAAGCCAAGCAGCCAAGTTCTGCCATCAGGAAGTGTGTTAGGATTCAGCTAATCAAGAATGCCCCCCTACCCCCAAACACAGCCTTTATATCCAATGATGGTTGTTTGGGTTTTACTGAGGAAAATGATGAAGTTCTGGTTGCTGGGTTTGGTCACAAAGGTCATGCCGTTGGTGACATTCCCGGAGTTTGCTTTAAGGTTGTTAAAGTAGCCAGTGTCTCTTGGCTTTATACAAAGGCAAGAAGGAAAGACCAAGATCATGTTTTGACAGTGAAAGCATAATAGTAATAGATTTTCATATGCCTCCCCAACCCCCGCCAAACAAACCAACAAAGCTTACCGAGCTAAAAGGAAACAGAGAAGTAAATGAAATCAGGAAAATGATACATGAACAAAAATGGTTCATATGGTAAAGTTTATGTTAGGTCTGTTTTACCAAAAGCTTAAAAAAATAATCCAACATCAGTTATTTCATTTTTTTTAAACTATAATAGGCCGTTGAGGTTATTTTCATCTGAGCTGCTCATTCAGGACAGTTTTGCCCCCCAGGGGACCCTTGATGATGTTTGAAGACGTTTTTTTGTTTTTACAACTTGGGAGGACAGACGCTACTGGTACCTAGCAGGTGGAGGCCAGGGATGTCCCTAAACGTCCCCAGATGCACAGGACGGTCCCCAAAGAATTATCTAGCCCCAAATGTCAGTACTGCTGGGTTGAGGAACCCTGATGTTGATTGCTGACCAGTTAAAAATCTGAAAAGGATTTGATATGATTAAATCTTTGTTTGGGAAGAAAATTGATGACAGTGTGAAGGTTGGATTATCAAGTGAAAAGTGAGATTCAGTGTTCATTTGCTCGAGGTACCATAACAGCATACCATAGACTTTGTGACTGACTTAAAAAATAAAAATTTGTTTTCTCATAGTTTTGGAGACTAGGAACCTTAAGATCAAGGTGCCAGCCTGGTGTCTGGTGAGGCCTCTCTTCCCGGCTTGTAGACGGCCACCTTCTCTTTGTCTTCTTTATACACTCACTCCTGGTGTCTCTTCCTGTTCTTATAAGGAAGGACACCAGTCCTGTTGGATTTCCCCCCATGACCTTATTTAACCTTAATTCCCTCTGTTAAGGCCCCTTTTCCCAAGATAGTCACATAGGGAGTTAGGACTTCAATATATGGATTTGGGGTGGCACAGTTCGGTCTATAACATTTCTGTTCTCTGGGCACCCAGTATTCATGTCTTTGTGTGTAAAATACATTCAGCCCCTCCTGACAGCCCCGAAAGTCTTAATCCATTTCGGTATCAATTCCAAATCTAAAGTCTCATCTAAATATCACCTAAGTCAGATATGGGTGACCCTCCAGGTATGCTTCATCCTGAGGCAAGTTCCTCCCCAGCCTGAATGTACAAAACCAGGCAGAGAATACAGGCATAGAATAGACATTCCTCTTCCAAGTGGGAAAGAGGAAAGTGGAACAGGTCCCAGGCAAGTCCGTATCCTAGCAAGGCCAATGCCATTACATCTTTACGCTCTTTGGCTCCTTTCTCTACAGGCCCACTGGGGTGGCAGCCCATCCCCTTGGCCCAGGGCGGTGGCACTGCCTGTGTGGTTCTAGGCAGGGGCAGCCTGGCCCACTAAAACCATGGGGGGGGGGGCTAACCTATGAAACCTGGGAGTTGACAGCCTTGACCTGTGGGCCTGTGGTGGCCGTGGCAGCCAAGCCGATCTCTGCATCACCCTCAAGGTCACGCTTCCCTTCTCTTGAAGGATGAGCCATGTTTGCAGCCAGTGACTTCTATTGTCCAGTCCATAGCATCTCCAAAATCTACAAGCCTTCCTTTATTTCATCCTGTTTCTGTCTCCTTTGGTCCACACTGGCAGCATGTCTGTTGGTGTAACCCCATCACTGTTTTTGGCTTCTGCAGAGATGGCTGATTAAATCCGTGGGCAGTATCTTTATGGAATTGATGTTTCGATCACACCCTTGGTATCTGGAACACACTTTCTCACTTCTTGCAAAATGAATAGGCCTAGAATTTTCTAAATGTTTAGTTTCTCGTTCCTTTTTGCTCAGTAGTTCAGTTCACCTCTCTCCTCTCACATCAGTGAGGAAAACCAGGCTGTGCCATCAACATTCTGCTTACAAATCTAAATCTCCTTTGCTAAACATCCAAGGTTGTCACTCAGAAGTTGTGCATCCCACAGAGCACTAGAACACAATTGAGCCAGGTTTTCTACCACTTTCTATCAAGGATTGCCTTCCTTTCGGTTTCCAGTAACATGTTCCTTGTTTCCATCTGAGTCCGCACGAGAATCACCATGAACACCCGTATTACTACCAACAGTCCCTTCAAGTCAATCTCGGTGGTTTTTTTTTTAACATGTGCCTTAAAACCCTCCCAGCCTTTACAATTCTAATACCAGTCACTTCCACATTTTTACATATTTGTTACAGTAGCATGCCACTTCACAAGTACCAAAATCTTGTGTTAGTGGGGGTTTCCCAGAGAACCAGAACCAGGAGGTTATGTATATATAGAGAAGGAAATTTATCAAAAGGCATTAGTTTACATGAATATGTAGGCTGGCGAGTCCAAAATCTGTAGTGTGAACTGGCAAGGTGGAGACCCAGGAGAGCCAGTGGTGCAGTTGAAGTCCAAAGGCAGGCTGCTGGAGAATTCCCTCTAGCTTTGTGAGGCCAGTATTTTTGTTCTGTTCGGATTTTTCAACTGATTGGGTGAGGCCCACCCACGTTATGGAGGGCTGTCAGCTCACTCAGCGTCTGCCAGTCTCAGCCAAATACACCTGCCAGGTCGGCACATGACATTAACCATCACAGGAGCTAATGACTGTGGTCTAGTTGAGAGTTAAGGAGGGCAGCCAGAATAGAGTGAGGAAATGTCCACATGAAAATAGATACAGAAGTAGAGAAGGAAAAAACTATTGGATGAGGGAGAAAGTACAAGAATTTAAGCCTCTGTTTTTGGAAAGATGATGGTACCACTGACAGAAAACCCAGAGTATAAAATACTACACTGAGAATCATCACTTAGAAAGTGATTTTCAGTCCTGGCTGAAACAGAGAATCATCTGGAGGATTTTAGGAATCTGTATGTCCAGGCTCCATCACATACCAAGTAAATCAATTCTGTAGGTAAGAGCCAGTATTTTAAAAAAGAACTTTCCAGTTGCTCATACTGTGCATCAAAGCATGAGGACTGTTGTCAGGAAGAGCAGAATCATGGGGAAGCCTTTTTAAAAAATTCCACCTGCCCAACAAAATTCGGGAGCTCATGAGACCAGGTCTCATTGGCTCGTGTCTTTTCCTAGCTGGCCTTGGGCGGACGGGCACTCTGATAGCCTGCTACATCATGAAGCATTACAGGATGACAGCCACCGAGACCATTGCCTGGATCAGAATCTGCAGACCTGGCTCAGTGATCGGGCCTCAGCAACAATTTTTGATGATGTAAGTAGACAGAGAGCTTGTGTGATTCCTCAGGGAACACGTGGGTCTGGAAGATGAGGGGAAGTAGAATTTTTCTTAGTCTCCAGGAACAGCAGGTAGTCTAGTAGGAGAAAGTTGTTCGTACGTATCTTTCTGAAAAGCTGTGTTTTGATGTTGTTATTTAAATGCTCTAGGAAACAGACAAGCCTCTGGTTGGAAGGTGACTGTTTTCGTCAGAAGTTAAGGGGTCAGGAGAACGGAAGGCACAGAGCAGCCGTCTCAAAACTCCTCGTGGCTGTTGATGACATTTCAATCAATGGGGTCAAGAATCAGGACAAACAAGAACCTGAGCTGGTAATCGGACCGCCCCCATCATGCTGTTTTCATTGCTTCCGGTGCTGTTAAGAGTCTTTAAGGGCATGGAGAAAATTGTAGATCAAAATAATAAAGCACATTTTGAGGGGTTATTGTTACACATCTTTTTTTTTTTTTTAAATACTTACTGCCCTCTCTAGGCACTTTTTTAGTCAAAATAGTTAAAACAAGGGATGTGTCCATAAAGCTAAAGTTTTTTGGGTTTTGTCTTTTGTTTTTTACTCACGAGGCATTGGTGATAAAAAGAGGTATGTGAAAATGGACGCAGTGACGCCCTCGCCCCCATTTTTTCCCATTAGGGAGCCAACTGTTCTCAAATGGAGAACTTGAAAGAACCAAGAGTTTAGGGAGGAAGGTAGCAGTACTAGATGAAGGGGTGGTAATTAGATTGTGAAATTAAAAATAAAAAGAATTTTTTCAGTATTGAAAACCCATTTCGCCTCTTCACTGTCAAAATATTTGATAACAACAGTGCTGTTGGGTTCTTTGGGAAAGTCAGCTCTTGGTTGTCTTGAAAGGGGTCCTGTAGCTTTATTCTGAGAGGAGCAGGGTATTTGGGAGTTCACCAGGAAGCTGAAGTATGTTTGCATGTGTCTGTGTGTGGTCTGTATTGGATAAATGCACCTGCTGCGCTTCACTGCCTTAAGTACGACGTAAATCATTAGCTCAGTGTTCTTCTGCTCACAGTACAGCGATGACGATGAGATCAACGGAGTGACACAAGGTGATAGACTTCGGGCCCTGAAAAGCAGAAGACAATCCAAAGCAAACGCGATTCCCCTCACGTGAGTCTGACTTCCTTCGTGTGGCTGATGGCACTGAATATGTGTACGAGGTTGTTTTGTTTTGTTTTGTTTTTTCCTGTACATTTTTCTCCGTGGTTGCGTGCCCATTAATGCCATTTTGAAATGAATAGCTACGTTATTTAAAATCTAGGGATGTTGCCTAAGAAGCTCTTTGCTATCCTTTATCTGTCTTCCGTTGTAACCTCACCAGCCTGTGGGGTTAGGAAAGCAATGTGAGGAACACTTTTTCTCCGTGGATAATCATCATGTGACATCCTCAAGAGAGTGACGGCAGATGTAAACTGTACGACAACCTAGTTATTAAAATGGTGAATTTCTTTGAATTCAGTACCATATTACAGAGAATTTGTTTTGATAATGGTAGAATTTAATTCATGGTGACATGGTGGCGTAATGTCACTATATGATTTTAGGTCAACAGTGAACTGATTCAACTATATTTTTGTGTTAATGCTTGAGGAATGGTTTTCAAGTTACAGAAGAAGGTTTAGCATGGGGACAGGAAGTTCTATAGTTATTGGGTGGTGTGTGCAGGTCCGCTCGTGCTTGCTTGTGTTGGATGGGACTCAATCTCATGGAATATCCCAGATCGGTAGAAAGATACGTGGAGTCAGAACACTTGGCCACTGTACTTTCCCTAGGGTATTACTTAGCACATGCTCCCACCTGTGCCACTGGATCCCTTCCTTCTGGTGACTTCCCTTTTCCTTGTGGAGTGGGTACCAAACTTCAGCCCCTTTTTGCTAGGGCTGGGGGTGATGGAGATAAGTTTTTATTATTCAGTAAGCATCTTGTAATATGATTGATTAGGAACTAATGTCATGGTAAATGGTCATGGCAGAGAAGACAAGGCCTTTTTAGTTAAAAGTGGTTCTTCACTGGTATCTCCTTGTAATCTTAAATTCCAAAGTAGAATTAGACTTAACGGCGTGTGTCGTCACGGGCCAGTGCTTTGAGAGATGCTTAAAAGACCCAAAGAAAAGAATTAAGTGCCAAGTGAATGACAGGCATCAATATTGATTATAGGCATTAATTAAGCATTTTCTCTGCAGTTTAGTGGTGCATTCAGTCAACTAGAATGCTTTAAGAATGGTGCATTTTATATAATTTATTCCAAATGCCATTTTGGTTTTAATTTCGACTCTAAGCCTTCATTTAAGGTCTTATTCATTCTTTTTATTTACACATGGAGGAAATAATCATTCAGATAATCATTCTGAAGCCAATTGTAAACATGGAGGAAAAAGCTAGTGCCCCAGAGCAGTGCTTCTCAAAATGTGCGTTTAAGCCTCGTGGGGGGCTTGTTCAAATGCAGGTGATGGTCAGTGGGTCTGGGGTGCCACCTGGAATTCTGCATTTTTGGCCAGCTCCCAGGTGTCGCATATGCTCCTGGTCCAGGGACCATACTCGGAACCACAAGCCCTAGAAAATGGGTGATTTTATGGGTTCCTTTTAGCCGTGTGCAGTATTTTTTTTTTTGTTCTGTGTTTAAGAATCTGCAGCATCAGTTTATTTCCCCGTAGTTTCTTGCCTTCTGTTCAGAAGTCAAGTTGGGAGCCAGGGCACGGGAGTTCTGCTCGGTCAGAGGTTCGGTAGGGCTTAAAGGAAGTTTCCTTTAGCCACTCTTGAGTCCGTGTTTTCCAAGAGTTCAAGTCCCTTGATGCTTTTTTTCTAGAAAAATGGAGACTATATCAAAAGTCTCTTTCATACCTGGTAGGTATGTGGTAACATAAAAGGAAACAATGAACGTAGACTAAAATTCTAAATATTGTTGGAGACCGGAAGGTAACGCTAGACGCTATGACATTCACCGTGGTATGTGAGGTTCTCTGGGATGAAAGTTGAATGGATCAGCGATGCTTGAATGAAGGTAACCAGCAACAAGGACTGGGTGGAGGAGAGACCAGCCTCTGTGCTGTCCATTTGGCTAGTTACTTATTTATACCCTCCTTTCCCCAGTGGGAATGAAGGGCACTGGCCCTTTGCTCTGAAGCGCTCTTGACATACGTTACGACAACCAAGTAAAAACGGTAAAAGCTTAAAAAAACAAAAAGCTAATTTAATTTAAGATTTCCCCTAGTTGTAATTGTAATCCCCCAAACAATAAAATAAATAGCCTCCCAACTGCCCTCCTCCCTTACACACAATTAACAGACTTTTTAAGTCACACTTTTACAGGAAAAAGCAAAAATGCTAAATTTCTTCTAAGCACTTAATTGTGTGTAAAGACCCCGGGGAATTTAAGATTAGTCACAGCAAATTTCTTTTTCTCCTTACATTTTGCTTATCCCCTCCTCTGCTTTTTCAGACCCTCTTTGCTATTAGAATCATCTCTTTTTTTGCTCTTACTGGGAGCTCCTTTGGCCCTAGAAGAGGCGGTCAACTGGAGAGATTTCCTTTCCTTCCCAAGTCTTCGTGTTATTTTAGAAATAAAAGTCCCTCGAGAAGAGAGTTGGCAACAGCAGCTTGGGTTGAGAAATCTAAATCCATTTCCTGCCTCCAGATTTTGACCCATCTGTCAAAGTGGACACGTTCGTTTGCTTTGCTGTTGGCACTTAGCCGACTGAAAATACTTGTAAGAGGGAAAAGTCAGTGAAAAAATATGAGTGCTGGTGATTCTTAGGCAAAAGTGATAGCACATAAAATAGTCAAATCATGGGTTTCTATTTTGCAAACAGTATTTGGGGAGAGTTAAAGTTGCTAGACATTGTGAAATAGTAATTTTCTCAGGCTTGTCTGACCCTGACTGCCGTGAAGACAGGAAGTCATGCAGCACCGTGGTCTTGCAGTGACCCTCAGGACCTGGTGGCAAGTATATTACTGTCTGTGCTAAAAGAGACCTGGTGGGTTTTGTAACGTTCTTCACGCTGCCTGTCTTTCTGCATTGTAGTAATGCTTTCTGCCAGGTCTGTCAGGGGTAAGGGAGATGATACATGAAGACTGCATCCGACAAGCGACTAGGTAAAGACATAATTAGCCTTGAAAAACCCTTAGATCCCCCTTAACAGTACAGTATAGCTGGGTATTTTTCAGCCTTGGGAAATAATTCTTGAGCTTTACTAGGGAAACAAATCCTGTATTTGTAATTGTGCCTCCTATGCGGTTGTTAATTACCAGTCCAGGGCATTTTTTGTTTTTTAATTTTATTTTCTTGAATTATAGTCAATTTACAATGTTGTGTCAATTTCCAATGTAGAGCACAATTTTTCAGTTGTCCATGAACATACATATATTCACTGTCAGCCCAGAACTTTTTTTTTTTTTTTTTTTTTTGGTTTGGTTGCTTGGTTTTTCCTCCTTTTCCCTCTGTGGCTTGGTTGAATTTTCTCTGTGTGCGTCTTGTGTTTTTTTTGAAGAATGTCAGTCCCTTAGGTACGACTCTGGTTTCTGGATGGTACAATTAAATTAACACGGGGGTGGTCACCCGATGAGAGACGGGGTCTGATCTTTTATTTCCAAATATCAAAATCCGTTTGAAACTGAGGATAGCATTTTTTTCCCCCCAACATAAAATGGCGCAGTTTTATCCCCATGTCCCCGCCCCTTTGCCTCACAGGGTGTCTGAAATTCACACGTGGCTTTATTTATGTATGATTCTGTTTATTTTGGCCTCCCAGTTTGAACATCTGTTCTTTCCCCTTCGCCCCTTTCCAGATGTTCCCTAGCTGTGCTGACCTCTGCACTGTGTAGTGTTGTCATCTGGTGGATTGTGTGTGACTACCTTCTCCCCACCCTGCTATTCTGTCTCGATGGTTTAAGGACACAGTAGCCATCAGGACCCTTTGACAGATAGCTGTAAGTGTCCCGTTCCGTTTTTCTACGAGAGCTCCCCTCTGGTGTCCGCTGTGTTTCTCGTGATGCATGCTTTTCTGTCAGCTCTTCTCGCTGTGTTCATTTGCCCTTTCCCAAACGTTCTCATTCTGAATCTTTTCACTTAATGCGCTGGGGGGCGGGGAGGGAAGTTGTCGCTGTTCTTTTCATACGTATAAAAATAACACACTTTGCTTTTAAGATGTGCTTACTCTTAACAGAGTTTTTGAAATAGCAATTTATAATGACCCTGAAGGAGTTTCTTTTCCCTGTGAAAAATCGTTTGAGATGATTGGGGTGGCTTTCTTTCAGTCAGTTGTCTGTACAGCTTTCCTCTCGTCTTCTAGAGTAAGTATCTTTAATATAGCCTTTCCCATCTAGCAAAAAGAATTTTCCCACCAATTTTCTGATGTTGGTGAAGATTTGACTTTGTGGCCATGAGGTCTAGTGAGCATCGCATCCCGTCTCACCTCTGATTCTGCCATGGTACACAGCACACTGGGCAGGCACCTGCTTCCCTAAGAAGTCTTCTGTCTTGAGTCTGCAGGATTTTCTCCTCTGCCTCATTTCACTTCCTCCGCTGTAGGAAATACAGTCAAGTATAGTTTCCAACACCTGATGTTAAAGGAAGATAAGAAAGCAGAGAAGACTGGAGTCCTTTGTCTGTGTTTGTGTTTCCACGCGACAGTCACCATGCACCTCACTCCCTCCCGCTCTCCTCCTTTCCCAGAAGTAACCAGAACGCCTTTATTAGGTTGATAGAGGCAGGATTTGTATTCTCTTGATATCTTTCATCTTGAATGCATCCCTTAGTAGTGAAGAGACTCCTTTTCTGCAGAAGAATGTGGCAGGGAGCTTGCCCGGGAATGTCATGTTCTTAAGACCAAGCGCACAGGAAGGAAGGAGGGTGTATCCTGTGAGACTGTGGTTCACCGCTAACCTCTTCCGTCTAGGCTGCATTCTTCTTTCTCCCAAAACTTTCTCTTTAGCTCATATTTGAAGAATTCCTTATCTTGTTCCAGCTTGCACTTGAGAGTTACAAAGGGATACAGAAGTGCCTTCTAGGATCTCCTCCAAAATGAAATTCCATTGCAACCAACTTGAGTACCTCGTGGTTTCGCTGAGTGTCTTCAGATGTCTAGAAAGACTTAAACATCTAACAGATACCATTCTTTTCAAAATTGAGAGAAAGCTGCCTAACACATTCTTATTTATGACACTTAAAAATATCTTACTAATACAAGGTTGTTATTACAGAGGCACACCTGCTCTCTTCCTGGTATGGATTACCCCCTGAGATGTTTTCTTCTATTACTTCTCTTAATGAGCTTAGATTTTACGTGCTCTGACTCAGGACCATCACACACGGTGTAGATGTATTTTTCTCCAGCTATTTCGAATGGCAAAGATGTTTCCAACAGGTTGAGTCCTTGCTAATAATACTTAGGCACTTCATGGTTGTATTATTTTTTTGCAGGGTAAACTTTAAAAAATGGTCTCTATGAGGCTCTTTTCTCTTTAATATTCTATGTAAGACATAGCCTTTTTTGTTGTTGTTATTACTGACATTTGCCAGTGTATTTCGGGAGCCAAAGCGGAGTATTCAGTTTAGCCTACCTGATTAGTTTGGAGTTTACAGAATCAAGCTGTCAAAACTCCAGAGTGATGTCAGCAGGCAGGAGCCTTGCTGTCACCCTCCGAGGTGACTGCTCACGGGCACCGTGGTTGGCGTTGACCTCTGTTGGCTGACAGTGTAGCATCACCTTGTGCCTGGAGAGCTTGCCTGTCTCAGCCCTTCACATGCTGTGCAGACTCTCAGTGGGGAAGGCATCCCTGCAGGGGGCAGGGCCTCGGCGCCATCATTTCAAAGGCTCCTTTTCGATCAGTGGTGGCGTGTGAACAGTGCACGGTTGCCCTGGTGGAATCTCTTCCTGGAGCTAAGCATTTCTGTCCAGAGAATTCGGTGGCTTTCTAAGTGAGCGACCTGGCTTGGCAATATTCTGCTCTGCTGGACGCCTCGAGTTGCAAGTATCTTTATGTCCCAAACCTGAAAATCTTAGGCCTCAAAAGATAACTCCCGAGAAGAAAGTCAGCTGCAGTGTGGACAAGAGATGAAAGAGAGGACTGAGGGTGAGGGTTCCGTCTGGGAAAGACGAGAAGGAGGAGTGACATGTTGAATGTTGGCCCGCGCAGCCCTGTGGTTGGCCTGGTGTGCAGGGTGGGAGCTGGCGAGGGAGCCCTTCACGCATGTTTGCCAGCTCAACCCACCGCATGGTGTTACTTGTAGAATATCTCAGGTAGTATCTAAGCGCACATGCTGGGTTTTTTTTCCCCCCACTTTATTGAAGCCTCACCTACAGGTGTAGTAACCGCTCTGTTGTTAATGCAAATAACTGGGGACCAGAATTCTTTGCTGATGCGGGTGATGCCCCCCAAATTTCCATCATGCTCTTATTTTCAAAATTCCACACAAATTATTAGCTATTAATATTATATTACCTCGCATGAATGGCTTACACTAATTTCACAGAGAAATGAATACTTTTAAAAAGATGTTTCTTATCAGCCTAAAATATGATTCAGCAGTAGCTTCTTGTTTTGTATAGTGTTTAAGCATCATGGTAAAATATGTAAGAAGTCAGGAGGTGCATTTCCTAAGCAGGCGATGTGTTGGCTCTTGTTTTTTTGCCCTCATAGTAATGATTTTATAGTGTGATAGTTTTCTAGACTTGTGGCCATAAATGGCCTCAAATTATTTGCAAAGTAGATGCGGTGTTTCAGACAAAGCCAACAGGAGTCTCATTTTCTCCATTTGTGAAAATGGACATGAAAACCCACGAGCCTTGCTGCGCGGCTGAGAGGCGCCGGGACAGTGATGGCGACGCCGGGTGCCGGGCCCGGGCTTCAGAAGCAGCAGCGGGGGCCTTGCGGGTTGTCTCCGTTGTCGTTTCGTTTCTCTGCATAAAAAACTCTAGGTTCGGATCCTTAGCGGAGACGCCTAACTAGTTCCTCCTCGCTTTATATAATCAGAAAGAATTTTAAAATAAATCCCTCGTGTTCCAGGGTGGAATTTAAATGCGGGGGCAGTCAGTGTCCTCTGTGATCATATGTCCTCGCGTTCACTTTCTGTTGTGTTAGAACATTCGGCATCTAGGGTGAGAAAGCTTTATCAGAAATCCTGGCTCGGGCACTGGCTCGTTTACCCAGGATCAGTCTCCCTCAGAGAGACTGGAGGCCTGATTCAGAAATACTGCCTGGATGAAGAGAAACAGCTGGGAGAGCCTTTGCCTCAGCCCTTCCCTCCCGCACTTCCCCAAACAGCTTGAAAACCACTGACCTCCAGTGCAATCAGCCCTCTGGGTTGGTTGGTTTTTTTTAGTGATGAGAAGTTAGCATTTTACTAAATGTTGAATATCCTATGGTTTGGGTGATACTACTATGATAAGAACTTATTAATCTTTACTCCACTTCAAGGACTTGGTTTTGGTTAGTAACTAACATGATATTAACTTAGAGCTGGGAGGTAGGACTGACTACTAGTTCGTTGTAACGGTTTCTTTTTACCCACGAGCTGGGTTCTCCTAAGTTGTTGACTGTCTCCCTTTTATGTTTGGACGTGAGAGGAGGGAGCGTTTTAAAAGAAGTGCTTTCTCTCACAGAGAAGTAAAAAGTTGAGTGTACGTAAACGTGTGTGCATGCAGATGCAGTTCAGTGTTTTAGTCACTATGTCTTAAAGAAAAGAATTGCTTGTAAACTTTTGTGATGTTTTCTGCTGTTTTCTCCATGACAATTCCGTGAGGGATTTTAAAACACCCTCTGCTTCTGAACACGGGATTCTGTGTGGGCTTTATCTGAAGGTGTTCTTTCTGATTCATGAATTTGCCTCCAGGGTAATGTACTCCCACAGGCATCGGTTCCTTGAGATTTCTAGAGTTTAATTAAATCAAATTTCACAAAATTGAGACAGTTTCCCTTTCACGTTAATGGTGCTTGGTGACTTCAGTGAGTAGTTGTAATCCAGACAAAAAAAGTTTGCTTGAACAGACTTTCCAAGTTTGAAATGTTATAAACATTAGTACTGATTTAAGGTTTATTGCTTGTGCTTCGATCTCTGAAGAGTGAATATTGTGTAGATATTTATATTCATCGTCTTTAGAATTTGAGTTTTTTAAAATGATTTCTTGTTTTCGTGACTAGAATTCTGAGACTCTGTTTTTACTTTGGGGCTCAAAGATTTGTTTTACTGGTCTATGTCTTTGGTGTGGGAATTGCTCAACATGCCAGGTCATTTGTTTCCCAAAAGCAAAGTTCTCTGATTATCTTCGTGTAAAGCTTCATAGGGAAATGAAGCGCTTTATTTCAGACGACTTGGTGTAAAAAAAAAAATAGTGTGTTTCGGATATTTTTTGGCAAATGTGTTCGTGGAAAATCCTATCAGTTCTCAAGAAAATAATTTGCACTGGAGAGCCAAAATGCCTTCCTCTGACAACCACTTGCGAATTGTTCCAGTGAATGTAATGTTATTTTTTTCCAACTGTTTTCAGAGTAATTCTTCAGTCCAGTGTTCAGCGCTGTAAAACGTCTGAACCTAACATTTCTGGCAGTGCAGGCATTACTAAAAGAACCACCAGATCTGCTTCCAGAAAAAGCAGTTTTAAAAGGTGAGAAAAGAATCCTACTCTTCTGAAAAATTTCAAGCATTGGTTTTCCAGTTTAATCTTCCAGAGATAGAAGTGAAGACGGGAGAAAGCAGGGCTCCTGTGTTGGGAAATTAATTAAAAGGGTTTGACGTGTTCATCTAAGGACATCTGGACCAGGTTAACGCAGGCTTTTTTTTCCAGAGGTGATTCTCAACACTGGAAATGTAGTCTTTGGGTCATAATATGGGCCAGTGGAGGATGTTGTACACATAAATTCTTAAATTGAGAATTTCCAAAGCTCTCTGTCAGCACGTGGAGGAAATCTTTCTTGTCTGTGTATCAGACGCAGCATGATTACTGGAGAATTCACTGCAGTTACTTGTGATGGTGGAAAAAGGAGAATTCTAGTGAGTTTGGGATGCTTCTTTGCCTCATGTGGCTGTCCTCTTGGCCACAGGCTACACCTCAAGGGGCAGCTCCTTCACCTTCCAGCCCAGCATCCTTCACTTCCTTCAGACAGCCTTGCACCAGAAGACATACACGTTCCGTGACCAAATCTGTGACTCGCCATTGTATGTGGATATTTATCACGGACCAAGGCAGACATTTCCTTTTTAACGTATTTCAAAAGCGTCTCTTTTTAGAGGAGAGCAGATAACCCATCTATCTCAGGAGGGGAAGGCAGCGCCTTTTTTGTGTTTGTGTACCTGTGCCTGGAGCTGGCAACCCACGCGGCCCTGAGCAGGGGGTACTTGACTTTAAAATGCCTTTCGCAGTTTCCCTTGCTCCTTTGTGTCTTCGATGCCCTCACATCTTTGGGGCATTGGGCCGACAGTGATCTCCAGTGCTGAGTCATTCTCTTTGCAGCCCCCACAGCAGTCTGTGTCCAGAAGACTCGCTGACCAACCGTGCTTTGGGCGTTTTGCTTTTTTAAGGAAAATCGTTCAGTTCTGCCACTCTTCCTTTTTGCTAATTCTTTTGTGCACTTTTATTATATACTTGTACTTACATGAGACTGTGATAATGCCTCAGTCCGTGTAATTGAGAGCTGGGCGCTGACTCATGATTTTAGGGTTTAAACTTTTTCATTAGAGAGGTATCAAATATTCATAGTCTTTTTACTCTCTAATTCCATTTGAGAAGACTGTTAGAGAAATACTGGCAAAAAAGTCAAAAAATTTAGGTACATTATAACAGAACATCAGAACGTTATTTGTAACAGTGAGAAACAGGAAATGATTGATGAATTCTGCCAAATGAATTTGAGAGTCGTGAAAAGAAAAGTTAATGGCGTGGATTAATTGTTCATGGAGCAGTGAGTAAAAAGGGCTCCACATAAAAATTGTCAAGTATTGCTCTAATTTTGTAAGTGTAAAATACACTTTGTATACATGTAGAAAGGTGCAGATATGTAAATATTTATAAACGTAAACATTTATGGGTGTAAATGTTTCTATGGATGTATCAAAGTAAGATAAACGAAAATGTGCCATAATATTAACAGTTCTTCTGGTTCGTTGGGCAGTTGAGGATTTTTAAAAAAAATTTTTTCCCCTAACTTCTCTACAATAAATGAGGGGAAATGGGAGTTTTTTTTTTTTAACCTTGACACTTTCAGGTAAATTACATTATTAAAAATTCAACTAAAAAGCCAGCTGTTGGTGATAGTTAGACATGTTTTGGATGGACATGTTCTTTGCAGGCGTCCTTCACAGCCAGGTGTGTTTTGCACGTTTAATTCTGCTTTCTGCTTTCCTGGATGGTGCTCTCCAGGTTTCCGATGAGTAGCGTCCCGGGGCCAGGACCTCGCGTGTCTGGTCCCACCACAATGCTCTCAGGGGCGCGGCCACGTGGCTGTTTCTCCATCTAGGTCTTGTCTGGTGACCCACATGTGTGCGTCTCAGCAGAGCAGGTTCCGGACTGCAGCGAGCATCTTCCTGGGGTCCCTGGACCCATTGCTTTGGGGGCCCGAAAGTAGAGTTCAGACTGCATCACTTGACTGAGTATTAAAATGGCCCAAGCAGTTTCCAGGCATTTGGGGATGGTACTGAAAACCCGAAAGACTTCTTTTAAATTCCAAAATGGACTTTCAGGGATTTGGAGGGGCAAAGAAGTGAAACCGCGAGAGTTAATTGGGGACATCACCTCATCTGTGACCACCTACAGCTGACGAGGGAAAGGCAAATGAATGATGCACAGGTCCCACTCCCTGCTTCTAGGACACGATGGGAGTCAGGCAGCCAGGCTGTAGCCCGAAGCTTTTACCCTGCTGGTTAATATTCATTTTTGGTTGGAGGGTAATGAGAGAATTAACACAATTTGTACATAATCTGATTCAGGACAAAACAGTATGAGCTAAGACTGTTGAATAATTTTAACGTATTGACTAGAAATCTTTACACACACACTCACACACAGAGATACACTCTTTCCGTGTACGTTCATAAATACTTTCGAGGCGCCGGGCTTGCCAGCCTGCAGCCACTCCCACCTGTGGGACCTTCTCTCTTGCAGGTTGATGTCGTTTCCATGTCATCATCATCATCATCTCTGTTGTCCCCTAGAACCTGACCTTTCATTTCCACGTTCTGTTCTATTCTTCGAGGCTTCCAGGATGGAGACCTCTCTGAAACTCACTTGTCTGTTGATTTGGCTCCTTTGATTTTTGACAGTTCACTGAAAGGTTCTACACCTTTGAAGAACTTGCCCATAAACATGTCAAGAGAGCAGTTATTTGGAGACTAGAAAAATACATGTGGCCATAAGCACTTGTCGTTGGGAAGAAATGCCACCACGTTTCTCTCGTGGCAGGTGATACCCTCGTGTATCCATTGAACATAAGCCACGTCTAAACTTGAGTCCTGGGTACCAAGCTCTGCTCTGTCATGGCCACAGCAGTTCAGGCACAGAAACACGAGCGTCTGGTGGCGGATGGGGTGCTGAGGGGGAGTCTGTGTGGCACCTCCCTCGTCTGCCTTCTTAAGTCCAAAAAAGCAAACTAACAGATCTCTACATCTCCCATGCCCTGCGAGAGCTGTAAACCCATTTTAATGTTTCTCTTTTAATCTGTTGAAGAACTGGCTTCATCGAGTTGGCCTGTTTTTCAGTGTTCTTGCATCAGCGCTCTGAAGAGCCCTCTCAGAATGAGTCTTGAACAATTCGTCATCGGGCCTCTGGTGGAGGCCCCATAGCGCCCTCATTTGATGTATTCAGTTCAGTCCATGTCTTTACACCGCTCACCCATTGAGCGCGTGTTGCTGTGAGCGTGCGCTGTTGCGTTGGGGCAGTCCATTTTTCCTTCCTCCCTCCCTCCCTCCCCTGCTCCTTCCCTCCCTCTCTTTAAAAAATTATAACTTCATTTGTTTCCCAAGAAACCTGTCATGTGTCTTTTTTAATCCCACGTTACATCACTGGGAACCAGCACTTCCTGCCTCACCTGCCAAACCCAACCAGTCAGTGCTCATTGCTTTGGGGTATTTTGTACCCCAGCCTCTCATATTTTGGAGGAAGATAAAAGTTCAGGCTCTTTTCTTGGCCTCTGAGCCATGAGTCTCTTCACAAGCCCTTTGGTTGGGAGTAAGTGCATTTAGGACTTGGGCTTTTTAAGCCTTCTCATTTGTGACATTTTCCATCATCACATCTGTCGCTGCTTCTTGTCCAGTAGAGTTTCAGATCTCGCTTTCTGCTCCATCACCTCCGGGCTTGGCTTTTTTGTTACCACCACTGTCTTTAAAAACTGTGTCACTGGAGAAGCCCCAGCATGTTGTGTCTCAGTTTTCCTTTATGCCGGTGACGTCTCATCTTTTAAAAATACTAATCTCCCTTTGAAATTTCAGATATTTTCCCCTCTTGGCTCTACCAACTGACTTGAACCTTTATATCCAATCCTCTGTCAGGGTCTCTGCGCACTAGGCGAGTGGTTCAGATGAGCTGCTCTGACGGAGCGTCGCCATCACCCAAGGGGGCCGCCTCCACGCTGGGATTGGTTGCTCTGGCTCCCTTCTTTCAGCTTTAGTTTTCCTTTGAAGGGATCTATTCAGTTGAAAGTCAAAGTGGTCCATAGGGGCAGGGAAGGAGGGAAGGGAGGGTGCGGTCAGCACAGGTCAGTTACACACGAACGCGACAGCTCCATGCAGCGGGGTGTCCCCTTGCAGCGGGGTGGCGGCGCAGGGCACCTGCTGCACCTTGCTCACCTGGAAACTGCTTTCGGTGCCCAAGCTTTGTCTGTGACCGAGGTCTGGCTTTGGAAATAACCAAGTAACACTTCTTTATCTTTTCGTTCTTCCCACTTCTCCCACAGCCTCGTTCCTCAGAGGGAAAGAAGGAAAAGGAATGCTTTGCAACAAATGCCCTTAATGGCGTTATGGTATTCTCATTGCTCGGCTGCGTTTGCCCTCCCTTCTTTCTATCTTTCTTTCTTTCTTTTTTTAATTTTTTTTATTGTCTTTTAATTTTTTGCAGACTTCAACCTTTTTCTGCTCTGCCTTTTCTCTCCTGTCTGTCTTTACTTTATGGTTGATACTGTGCTGTCTTTCCCAAAGTATTTTGTCATTAAAGAATTACACAGTGTGTATACTTTTTAGCATGTCAGTATTTTTATTATGTTGCCTTTCTTGTCTTTGATAACCACATGGGACACTTGAAAGCCTTCATGGTAAAATCCTTTTTTTTTTTCTCCCCTGTAGTCCCTCCATTTCAAGGACTAAAACAGTCTTGCGTTAAGTAAAAACCTGTGACCAGAGCCGAAGGAAGACTCTAGGAACAGAAATACTGCAACAGGATTTTAGCACAATTTATTTGGAAACAAAACAAAAGTTGCAAAAGCCTTAGCTGCTTGCCACCTAAGTTTATTCAACGAAGAAAAAGTCCACTGGAATTTAAATAACTACAAGGGTTTGGTGCACAAGCGAGTGACTTGAAGAAGGCCCAACTCTCCTTCTGTAGAAACGTCTTAAGTTGAACAACGAAAACGTGGTTGTAAATTAGTCTCAGGTGTAAATATCAACGCCCTCTGTTCTCAGGGCAGCTGACGCGTCTGTGTGGTGCACATGTGTCCCTGTGATGGCAATCATTTTAGCTGCTGGCCTTCAGAAGAATTGAGGATCTGATGGAGGTTTTTTTTTACTTAATTATTTGCTGGTCACCCTGTGTCAAAACTTCTAAAGATAAAACAAGCGTTACTGAAATGGTACTTTCTGTCATTTGACGCCATTCGGTTTAATCATCTCCATTTTAATATTTGTGATATTGTTGAAATGTTAACTCCGTTAAGTACCCAAGCTGCTTGTCTTCCACCAAAGAGTGCTTTATTCACAAGAATCTGTGAAAACCACATTTTAAGGCTGTTGCATGTCGCGATACACATTGGTACTCGGGTAACCTAAAACTTGGAAGAGAATATTAATCATAGCTTTAGAAGCCTCAGGAGGAGAAACTGGCTTCACAGTTGGAAGATTGTTGTAAGTCGTCCCTTTTTATGTCATTTTGAGACGGAAGAATGCCAGGGCTGTCCACTATGTGGCTGCCCAGTCATACAAACTAAAATTGTATTTCCTTCCATGCGGGAAGAAACCCCACACTGTTGATGTTTGCCCTTGGAAACCGTGATCCCAAATACTGGTGACTTTTTTTTATATAAAGTTACTTTATTAGGGTCTTTCCTGTCGCGTTGTGGGTTTTTTGTTACGTGATCAGCCTAAGGCCATTCATACACCCTTTTAGTTCAGTGACAGTTATTCGCATCTGGATTTCAGTTGTTTGTAAATAAGAAACTCACTGTTGCCTTTGGTTAGGGAATACAATTAATAACTCTTTGCAGAGTGCCTTCTCCCCTCAACCCCACAGAAACACAGCAGAGTCTGTGATGTCAGGCAGTCACAAATCCGAATTTACTTGCTGCTAAAAGAAAGGGGGGGGCCAAAATAAAAGAGTATTTTTGCAGTCACCTGGGTTGCTTCCATATTAAGAAGTGAACGGTTTAGTTACCATTAACCGGTTATCATTAGCCTAGTTTGGAGAATGGGGAGATACAATATTTAAAGGCAAAATGCCTTCACATTACAAGATGAATGAATCCCGTTAGTAGGCAAATCCACTTTTAAAAAGCTGCCTTTTTCATATGACTGTGAAGAATAAGAAATGGCTGTGGAATAAACAGATTAAAGTCTGTTAAGGCCAAAAAAAAAAAATTGGAAGGCTGTGGTTCTATTTTGGTATTTACTCTTGGAGGAGATTGTAAGATTGCCTTGTTTTCAGAGGAGATGGAAAACGCCATTGTTTTGGCCATCGTTGGGCACCACGGGGCTGGGCCAAGCCAGCTTTTAAGTTGGGGGCGAGAGCTCAGAAAAACAGCGGTTTTTCTATCCCTGGAAGTTCATAGATGCAAAGACCCGTCGCCTGACAGGAAAACAGCTCTTCATTAAGCTCTGAGTGGGAGGAGAAGCATTCCATTCATTGTGTCGCTCTGGGCGACCATACCGCAGGGTCATCCTGTGCCCAGGCGTAAAATCTTGAATTCTCAGGGCACTCTCCTTCCCTTTATACTTCTAAAGGCCATCTCCTACATAACTAATCCAGGCAGTGGTGCAAATCAGACTTCCATCTGAACTGTTCTTGTCGGTCAGAACGAGTTAAATGTGCCGTCTCCCTCGCAGTGAAAAAGCCATTTGGTGTCTTGGCCAAGAGTGAAAAAACTGGGGCTTCAGTGTACTTTTTGTTTTACAAATTGCCTTTTTCCGTGTCTGCTGCTCAACTTTCCAGCTAGAATTGCTGTCACTGTGGCTCTTTCTACAAATCCTTGTATTTGACAGGCTCACTGAGGTTAGTCGTAGCAAGCTGGTGATTGGGTCAAGCGGCATCGCTTGGATGGAACACACATCTTGGGCTAGTGCGTCAGACGGACTGCACAGCACAGTGTTAGTAAACTTACTGGGGACGTATCTCAAATCCAGGGTGGCTCTGGATGGGTGGAAAGCTCTTCCTGCGATGAGTAGGAGTAGACTCTCCGCCCCCCGCCAGACCCCAGCAGAAACTTCAACACACTCAAGAATCTTCGGAGTCTCATTTGTTACAGAAGATCTTGTTGCTATGGGATACGAAACAGGGCATGTCAGACCGAAAGATTACTTTAACTTAAGAGCCTTAAATAGCTTTGAAAGTACACCAAGTCAGTTTCCATTGGGATTAAAATTAGAAAGGAACTCTTTTAGGTGCCCTTGAAGCTTTCTGGTCTGCCAAAGTGGGTACCTAAGATGTATAGACAGACTTCCATGTCAGAGTGTTAAAGAAAAGCTAGAAATCTCTCCTACCAGGGAAGAGGGAGGACCCTGAGCAGTGCCTCACTGAAACAAGTAGCCTTGTCAAAATGTAGCCGCATCTACGCAGCGCGCTGCCCTTCTAGCCTCCAGAATTATTCTGTTCTAAACTTGATCCCCTTAGCCTGTCCCCCACCCACCCACCCACTTCTTCCCTGCCCTCCTCCCCCTCTCACAGGGGTGATGTCTACCTCCTGGGCCCAGACAAGTTTCAGAGGAGTTCCCCGGCGTTCTCACAGGGCAGACGTGTCTGCCCGTGGAGTCTGAGACACGGTCGGGCGGCCGCGTGGACCAGCGGGCATCCTGGGCATCCTCTCCTTTGCTCGACATGCGAGCATTGCCCTCCTTTGATGTTTGTTCAAAAAGTAGCTTAGCTGCTCTCCTGCAGACATCCTTTCAAGCCATCATCACATTTTGGGAAGCAGTGCTCATCAAAAACAACTTTAAAAGCATAGTTTAATTCTTTAGCAGTTTTCTCCCGCTGACACCGTCCTGTGAGGTTACCTGCTGCTCCTCCCCTTCTCCTAAGTGAGGATTCTCCGTGTCGCGAAGTGGGAATGCTCCACGTGTGCATAGTTGACTGGACAGTTCACCTGTACTGTGTAGGAAGTTACCTCCTTAATCGCCCAATAGAATTAACTGTCAGCAGATCTGTTCATCTGATTATAGTACTGCATATTTATATTAATAATTTGCAGACTTTTATCTAACCTGCACTCATGTACAGATTATTAAAAGTTTTCAAACGTAACTGAATAATCAGTATTTGATCAATCATTGTCTTGATTTTTTTAATTAAAATGTATATTTCTAACTCATATTTTATAAAGCTGAGAGAACTGGTTGAATGAATGTTTATTTTCCTGAAGGTATTTTTAAGATAAAGCTTCACAATGGCCTGTAAACTTTGCGTATCTATGTAGTTTGGTACATAATTGTCACATTTGAAAATCTTGTGTATTGTAACTGGTTTTATACAAAATGTTGAATAGTAAAAATTGTATAATTACAATCGTGTAATTAAAAGTATTAACCAAACAGCCGTTTGGGTTTTTTTATTCACTTAGCGTTCTGAATTGTGGTAGGCAGTGGCTAAAGTACAGAATGAGTGTAACCCTCCGTGGTAGTAATTTGCCAAGACTGCTCCAGTAAAATGCTTTGTGCTGGGGGCTTAGACACAGAAGTTTATTTTCTTACAGTTCTGGAGGCTGGAAATCGAAAACTAGGGTGTCAGCAGGGTTGGTTTCTCCTTGAAGCCTCTCCTTGGTCTTGTCGCTGTGCCGTCCAATCCCTGATGTCCCTCTGTCTGTCCTTTTTAAATGACACAAGTTGGATTGTTTAGGGCCCGTCCTCATGGCCTCATTTTAACTTAATTACCTCTTTAGAGGCCCTGTCTCCGGATCCAGTCACACTGAGGTGTTGGTGGAAGGGCTGCTGCTTAAGAATTTGGGGGGAATACAGTTCCGTCCGTAAGACCTTCCCCAGGATGAGAGGCTTGTGCGAGGGCAGGGGCTCCTGCTATGGGGTCACTCTGCACGCAGCCACTACCGGCTCATGCCAGCGAAGGCTTGACTTTTCTGGAAACAGCTAAGGATGGGACACGTGAGTCAGGCCCTTGGAGTCTTGCTGCTCATGGGCTGTAGCCCCTTCACCTTCCCTGCCAAGAAGTCAGGATGAAAGTGCTGAGTGAAGGGTGGGACCCTGCTGGAGCGCTTCGCGGCCCCGCGTGGAACCCAGGACGCCTCCTCCAGGGCTGTTCACTGCCCTTGCCTCTTGGTGTCTTGCAGGGCAGGATCCTAAGGGACCTAAGTGCCCTCACCATCACTCAGAGGTCGTGCCTGTCCCATTAGGGAGCGCCGTCCTGTTCCCCAGGGAGCCTAGCTTTGATTTGTGCTTGCGTATGAGTTTTCAAAGCACAAAATGAACCTGTCTGCTCACCCCTATCCAGACTCCTCCCTGCCCCGGGCACCACTACCTTCAAAGAGGGATTTGCAGGCTCTGTCCTCTGTTGAAAGCTGCAGCGGCTACCTGCCCCTCCACGGGGTGCCCTGAGACCCGTGCTGAGCGGTGTGCCCGCCTGCTGACCCCCCGGAGCTCAGTTGGTTGGCAGAGGCCGGCAGCTCAAGGTATGTGCGTGCGGTGAAGGGCGCAGGCTTGGCAGCAGGGCTCCGAGGCCTGCAGGCCTCCGGGTGAAACCACAGGGCTTGTCGGTTTCTCGGGGGCGCCGTCACGTGTTCCGGGGCTGTGCGGTGTGGGCGGCCAGCCTCGAGACCCCCTCTCCCTCTCCGCTGTCAACTTCCCTGTCCCATTCCCCTTTACCCCACGGACAGTCTGCGAAACCCCTCTACCTCTGTTTCTTAAGTAAAATGGGAATAAAAGGAATTCCCACCTTCGCAGTTATTATGAGAATTAAATGAGATAATATAGAGAAAGTGCTTAAAACGGTATTTGGCACGTAGCTTTCAATAAATTAATTTTTTATTTAAGGTAAGTTTCTCTAGATGGTTAGACAAAGACCGATTTTTCATAGCAGATTAGGGTCCCTCAAGATCTGCTGTCTTGGGTACCTGCAGCATCATTCCAGGCAAATAGAATGGTTGTTAAGTATTTAAAGAGGTCAGACTACTTTGGCTTTTGAAGGAGAACCCCGTGCACTGAAGGTCTCCTGGGAGTGCTTTGTTCAGGGGCAGAGTGGAGGGTGTAGTTACGTAGAAGAGGCCCCTTCAGGAGGCCCCCATGAGTTTATTGAAACAGCACATTGATCCGGGAAGAGCAGCCAGCAGTGTGCGTTCTAAAGCAAGCAGTGCCACTTAATTCTCTGACCTTGGGGATCCTTCAGTCTGCCTCCCGGCCTTCACTTTGTTCCTCCATAAAATTGCATTCGTAAGTGCCTTAGTGTTCAGATTAAAAACAGCAAGGTATGAGGTCATCCCCTAACATCGCCTCCACCGTGGCTTTCTTTTCCTCCACGCACGCGTCTAACTGCAGCCGTGGGTGCGCTGGGAGGCAGTGTGGTGGGAGGGTGATTTTGACCTTGTCTGTAGTGTACGCCGTGTCGTCAGCAGCCATGCTCTCCCCATCGTTGCTCAGGTAGGTGGTGTCCAGCTCTTTACTGCCGTCCCACTGCATGAACATTCTCATATGTAAATTCTTCCTGGCTGGTATTGCTTGTTTCCCTAGGATAAATTCTTACAAAAGGCATTTCTAGGTCAAGGATCTGCAGAACTTTAAAGCTTTTGATGTACATTGCATCAAAAAGCAGGTAGGGTTGTTCACAGCATGGATTCTGGGGCCAGACTGGGTGTAAACCTTTGCTCTGCAATTTATTAGCTGTGTGATTCGGGCCAGAATGACAGTACAGTCGTATGAGGATTAAATGAGTTAGTATTTGTTGATTACATAGAACAAGCACCCGGCCTATACGAAGAGCCATGTATGGTATATTTAATTTTAAAATATTGCCATAACGCTCTTCAAGAAGTGATAAATGTGGTCCCCTGGGCCCCCTTCCTCCCTCCTCAGCAGCCGTCATGACACTGCTGAGCTGGTTCCTTAAGAGCGGGACGCTGGCCCCAGCACCATGGGTCCAGGGTCACCATCACTCCCTGCTATATCCAGTCCTGTCTTAGCTGCCCCATTATTCAGATTTGGGGCATCTTTGTCTTCTAAGTGGTTGGCATAATATCCCCCTATGCTATATGCAGTTCTCAGCTTACGGGAGGAGCAAGTGGACCCTCGGGGAAACCCTTCCCCTTCCAGGTTCCTCTCCAGACCCCCAGCTCCCCGAGTGGGGAGGCTGGCCCAGCCCACGTGGGATGGAGATCCCCCCACGCTGCCCCAGTAGCATGTCTGGCCGCCTTGCCTCGTCTCTAACTGTGTCTCGTTTCTTTGCTAGCAAGTCTGCACGGCTGCGACGTGCTGCTGGATGACGGGTGCTCCATCCACACTGAAATGCCCAGGTAAGGAGGCCGTCTGCCTGGCGGGAGCCTAGCCTTGGCCCCTCAGATGCAGTTTTAAATGAGCAGAGGCTTTGGGTGGGGAAAGAAAGAGTGGAGGAGGCCGTGCAGTGTTTTGCTTGGAGAAAGGACAGTGGTTTCTTCTCAGCATGGGTGTGCCTCTCGATGTGAAACAGAACGACTTTTGATGCGGACAGTTCTTCCTTGGGTGGACCCTCCGGAGAATGCAGCCCGTCTGGCATTCCCGGCCCACTGCCACCCCACCCGCAGCCTGCTAAATGCCAGCAGTGTCCCGGCCACTGGGCAAGCCAGGCGTGCCTGCCTTTCAGCCACCTTCAGGAGGCAGTGCTGCCCCCTGGAGTGGGTCCCCTGATTAATTTCAAGTACAGCTTTGCTGGGCGATGTCACAGAAATGGCAACGGACGCTCTTGGGGACCCTGTGACGTGAATATTGTTCTCCGGCCTCGTTCTGCTCTGGCCCAAGCTCCACTTGGCAGAGGAAGGGGCTGGAGGAAAGGCTTCATTGTTATGTGGGAGGCAGCAGGGGCTCAGCCCTGGGAATGGGGCTCGTGGGTTATTCATGAGCCTGGGGGACCCTGAGGCTTTAGGTCTGGCCTTGGGTGGATGGACAGACTGCCTTCCTGCCTGGCCCTGGCTTGCCCCCTACAGGGTAGCGTCAGCAGGGAGGTTGCCCATCCCGCTGTCTCCATCCCTAAGAGTGAGGGGTCTGTTGTAACAGCTGGGTCACCCTGGGAGCACTGTGAACAGGCCAGTGGTTGGCGCGTCCTTGAGTGTTCCCTCGACACTAAGGGATGGGGAGTGGGGGTTGTGATGGCCGGTGCCCCCCCCGGCTCAGTCCTGTTGTTCAGGGTGATTCTGCTCTGACCAGCCCCAGGGAGTTTAGAACACGCACCTCGGGGTCTTTTCTCTGGCCCCGTATTAAACCAGTCCTTGCCATACCCAATAGCCCCCTAAGACAGGTCCTGGGGTTGTAAGTACAACTTTGTCCGTCTCCTCCCTTTTTCAGCGATGGCTGGATGTCCTGGGCTGTAACCTTTCTAGACCGGCTTTTAATCTGGCTCGGGATCCGCAGAGACTAGGGCCATCTCCAGAGGTCTCTCTCCTGGACAGCACAGCGCTCACCGTCGGAAATTTTCTCAGGGTGTAATTTAAACCTGTTTCCTCAGGTCCATGCCTCAGCCTGTCAGCAGAAGAGTTTTTGCCTCATTCTTCCACTGGGTATTGGGACCGCAGCCCAAAGCCAGAGCTGGGCCTTCCTGTAGGTGGCCTGGGGGGATGACTGGGCTGGGGACAGGACCAGGCTGGCACCCTCTCTGGTAGTGGTGCCGTCTCAAGTGGACAGCATCCCTTCAACTGTCTTACGTTAGGGGCCCTTGTGACTGATGGTCCCTCTGTCTCCTCAGAAAAGTCCATGCAAACTTTTTGAAGACTTTATAGTCCTCATCGTCCTTGTCGTCCTGGCTGCACATCGTCCAACTGCAGGGGTGCTGTTCATGCAGGTGCAGTGTGAGCGGCGCCCCGCAGAGGTGTGCCATGAAGGAGCCTGCTCACCATTCATCCCAGGGCCCCCTTCTGGGCCTCAGGATCCTCGGTGAAAACCCCAAATGATGCCTTCCCACCCCGGTCACAGGTCCCTGGGTCAGGATGGAGCCAGGGGAGAGGCTGCCGCGCCCCGGGCTGGGCCAGCCTGTATGCCCCATTCTTTCCCTCCTCCTGAGCTCTCAGCATCTCTGCTCACTCCCACTCTCACTTTCCCACGCCGCCAGAACATGCAGGTGCTGCTCCTTTTGCGTTGCCGAGAATTTAGGACTTGGGGACTTGAAAAGTTTTCTTCCCTGTTGCTCTGAGATGGAGGGTCGGGGGTGGCGGGGGAGGTGAAGTGTGGACCAGAGCCACCAGCAGTTATGGGGGTTGTTTGTCGAGGTGAATGAGGCCCCCCGGAGCTGGGCAGGGCACACCTCTGACTTCTGGCAGGGGGGCTGCTCTGGAGAAAAGAGTCCTCTGAGAACTCTCCGTGCCCCCCGAGGGACTCGTGTGTGGGGTGGTGCCGCTCCACTCCCCAGCTTACAGATGACCGTGCTACCTCGTCGCCTCTGGAGATGGTCCAGAGTTGTTCCGGGGATGCTCTGCCCCGGCCACCGGGCCAGTTTTGCCTGCGGGAAAGTTGCAGTGGATACGAGAGCCTTTGTGGTTTGGTTGGGGAAAATCCTATTGCCCTGGGAAACCTTGTGGACAAGGAGAAGGCTCTCCCAGAGGCCCGGGAGGCAGGCAGAGGCGGCTTGGGCTGGAAGATGCTGCTGGAACACGTCGACCCTTAGATTTCCAAGAGGCCCCTGGGAGGGCCAGGCTTCTGCTCCTGCCTCCACCTTGCCGGCAGCCTTGAACCTGATCGCGTGACCTCTCGTGTCTTGCCATCTCCAGCTGTGCAGGAGGCCTAGTGAAGCGTTCCCAGAACACCTCACATCCCAGGATGCTTTCAGGAGAACGCGTCCGGATGGACCGGTTCATGCTACTGCCGCGCACGGTCCCAGTGTGCCTTGCCGCGGTCACCACCTTGCCCCGGGGAGTGGCTAAGCACGGCAGCGCACAGCACACCCCATGCGGTCCTTGGGGCCCCCGCAGAAGTGCATATGTCCTCTGGCCTCTCCCTGTCCATCTCCCAGCAGCTTTGCCCAAGTTGATAACTGGAAATTTCAGGAGCGTGTAGAAAGAACGAGGCGTGGGGATCGAATCTTTTTTCGGCTTCATCTTCTTATCCCATCCCTGCCTAGCTAGGGAGCAAGGAAGACGGATGTCCTTCCCTGTTCCCTGACTGCCTTCAGACTTACAGGACACTCAGGTAAAGGGCTGAGCACCCCGTGGGCAGTGCTTCCTCTCCGTCAGGATAGCGGCTCCTTTCGGAGGGACCTGGGCTGTGATTGGCACCATCACATGGACAGGCTTCTGGGGAAATCGGCCCCTTGGCTTCCAAGGTGGTGGTTACAGGGAAGTTTTTGCACTTTCCTCCATGTTGTATTTGACAATAAAGATTTCTTTTAAATCCCTGCTTTTTTTCCTTCCTCGTTCTCTTTACTCCATAAATAGCCAGGCCGAGCCCCACACACGGGGCATGCTGTGGGCAGGGATGCCGGCTGCCGGGGAGCCTGACTCAGGCTGGCGTCAGGAGAACGTGGGGGTGAGGAGCCCTGGGTCCTGGAAGGTGCTCGCGGGGTGCGATCCCCATGGAGACTGAGGGCGGCAGCGGCAGCAGAAGGGAAGTGGGCAGGGTTTTTCTCAAAGCAAAACTCACGTGTCCTGCTCGGTCGTGCTGAGAGGGAAGTGGCCTGGCTCCCTCCTGATCAGCTCAGAAAAGGGCAGTTTCTGTTTTTATTTTGAGGGCTGACCTTTCCCAGCTCCCAGGACCCGGGTCCTACTGCCCCGTGGGACTGGCCGACATTGCACGTGCTGCAGTTTTAAAGGAGAAACAAACAGCACCTTCACCTATGAGACACCGATGCCCCGGGCTGGCGTGGAGGAGCTAGTGAACCAGCGACCAGCACTAGAACAGGGGGCGCGTGCCACGGCTTCCCGGGCTTTGAGGGGCTTGCCGGGCACGGGGCAAAGACGTCTGATGCTTAGCAGTACCATTAGGCTAAAGATGTACTTTTCAAAGTAGGCTGGCCAGATGTCCAAACCGGCCAGCACAGGGTTTCCGCCTTCCCCCAGCATCCCGGCCAGCAGCAGCTTCTGCGGCGTGTCTGCCTCTTCCCAGACCTTGTCAGATGGGTGACTTGTGTTTTCATCCAGCTGAACGAAGCAGGGCTCCAACCCCCACTCCTGTCTGGTCACACACCCTTAAGAGGAGGCTCTCCCAGCTGCCTGAACTCCTGGGTCAGAAGGGATCCAAGTCAGGCTTGGGGGCTGGCACACCTGCCCTTGGAATTCAATCACACTTGACCTCCGCTTTCCAAGAGTCGGCTAGGGCCACAAGTTTCCTCTTGGTGGGTACATTTGCTTGCTGTTAAGTTACCAGCCAGGAACGTGTCCTGCCTCCTGACAATGCATCTATACCCAAGTACGTCAAAGGGGTCCGGCAGGGGAACGCTGACCTGGAAGGGCTTGCCTCAAGTACAGGCCCAAATACACAATGCCCTCGCCTCCTCTGCTGACTTCCCCTGCGGCACATTGTGGATGTACCCTGCCCCTTGCTTCTGCTCCGTCTTCTCTGGGGCCAGACTGGGGACAACCACATGACAAAAGCCTGACACCTATCTGCCCCACCAAATTGGCAAGAGGTAGCCCTGGTGAGCAAATGAAGACCTCTACAGGCTCAGAAACTGTCCCCTGTCCCCCGGAACTGCTTCTGACAGGCCCTGGGACTGCTCTGTGGCACAGGATTCCCGTGCGTCTGGGGAAGGATCCAGAGTTTGCAAACGCATTAAATCCAGTGCTATGGGCTTTTTAAGTGTTACTCACAAAACTAAAGGGAATTTTCTTGAAAGGGATCTCTGCTTTGCCCACCTTCAAAGCCAGGGCAAGGCGAAATGACGGTGTGACAGCTCAGAGCCTGCTGAGTGGTGACACAGCCTCACGTTGAACCAGCTGGTCATCATGGCTGAACGTGACAGTCACTCTCACAAGATCTCAGATCAGATCAGGGCACTCACGGTCGCTGTTTTTTTCCAGGGAGCGGGAATAAAATGATTACCTTAGTATTCAGATAATAACAAGGAATCGAAGTAGGCTGGCACCCACAGGGAAGGTCATTAACTGGCTTAACACAGCTAAGGGTTCAGCTCTGATTATTCGACGAAATAAGAAATGACTCTTTTCACTGTGGCCTTTCCTGGATGTCACCAAAAGGATTCAGCCTTCTCTACACAAAGTCAGGAGGGAAATACCAACCTTTATTTACACTTGGGTTCAAGTTCAGAGCCATCTCAGACAGTATAGCAAAGCGAAAAAGAAAGGAAAAAAAGCACAGATCCCAAGGTTCAAATTCCAACACAAGCATACCGACTGTGGGCCGCCCGGCAGCTGCTACCCGCGGTTTCTCCTGTGAAGCGGCGCGACCTCGCAGGCGGCTGGGCTGGGGGGACACGGACTTGCAGGTCTCGGCCCTGCTGGGCGGGCTGGGACCCAGACCTTCTTCACCAAAGGCGAGAAACAGCAACTCGCACTGGGGCAAGGACCAAGTGAGAAACGCTGCGCGTGGGAGTTCAATAAATACTATTTACAAGCCTTGCCCAGGACAGGGACAGAGGGCCTCTGCCCACAGGTGCTGAATTCTGACACCAGCTTCGGGGGAAAAAAAAGATCTCGTGTTCAGTGGCAGCACACTTTTGCCTGGACCCCTTTTCACTTGATTGGTGGGTTAAATAACATGATTTTTAAACCCATATATTTCATACTCACCCTAAAAACCACCCAAACACTACATATGCACATTTACACTAAGCGTGTGTACGTGTGTGTGTACACACGGGAACCACGAGGTAGTTTAAATCACCGTGAAAAAAAAATCAATATTCCTCTAATTCTCTGCCACAGAGTGGCAGCCAGGGACGCTTTAAAATTATTGGTTAAATGAAAACCAGAACTCAAAAGATTCCAGGAGAGTGGAACATTTACACGTAAACAGTATTTTGTATTTTAATTTCTTGGTCTCTGAGAACTAGGCTGTGACTGCTTTAAGTTAATGGTCCAAGTTATATGTTACTTCCTCTAACACTGAAGGACACAGCCTTCCGAGATCCATACAGCTTATTAAATATTCTCAATAAGTTCTATTTTACACCTTGCTTTAATCTCCATGCTTCTGTGGAGGATTCACTACAATCTCTATGTACAGATTTTTAAGCATTATCTCTGAACTTCATTTGGAATTCCTTGAATAAAAAAATAATCAACATTCTCCACCTTCTTGGGAAGGTGCCAGACTAACCCCTGACCGGGACTCCCTAGTGTCTGGAGGAAAACGTCCCTATTTCCACACTCCCCAGGCCCAGAAAGTGCAATGAATTCGAACCACACGGGATAAAGCAACATCTATTGTTCTTAGAGTCTGACTCTCTTCCCCACAGCAGGGAAAGTCTCTTGATAGGTAAGCCAGCGCTGTTTCTCGTTGCCAGGGAGATAAGGCTCTCAAGCCAGAGCAGGAAAGTCGTCGGGGTCATCCGGGTTCGGAGCAACGTCTTGTGTCTAAAAGAGAAAAGACAAGTTTTGAAAGCAGCTGTCATTTCACCCCTTCCAGTCGGGCACAGCACGCTGTTGAGATGTGGCACCCGCTGTCACGCAGGGGAGAGATGGGGCCCCAGTGGGAAGGGAAGAGGGGCAGGGTCACCAGGAGGGAGGCCCTGTCTCTGAGCTGCACCAAGTATGCACAGACCGTAGGGAGGGGACCCAGAACGGCACCTCTCCTGACTCGCCCCCTGTCCCCTCTGTGACACTCTCTGCCAGCACATTCCTCCTTCCCTGCCACAAATCCTTTGGGATCACCCCCTTCTGCATCCGGCACTTCCTTCATCCAATACA